GACAGCAGTGACAGGAGCCGCCCCATGGCCACCGGAAGGTCGCTGACCTGATCCGGTCAGCTCCGGTGCCGCCCCGCACCGTCCCGTAGATAGCCGGCGCCGCCGTAGATCGGAGAATAAAGGGGAAGTTCTAGAGGTCACTGACACGTTTCTTAGAGGGATGGAGCGTCTTCGTGCAAAGCGTTCTGGTCGGATGGGAGGAGCGTGGGCGTCTTCTCACAGTCCGTTCTCATGGTCGATTTGGTGAGGGCGAGTCAGCATTATCCAATAGACGCTAATTTTGTACCTGCAGAACTAAACGCTTTGAGACCACTATCGGCTTAGCAAAGCGGATTTGGTATTTGATTCCCCGTTGAGTCCCTCTCTGCTGTGAGTCGCGTCGCCGCCTCGAAGGAATTAGCGTCATGTTCGCACATACAAAGCCCCTGTCAATAAATCCTGTAGATATTTTCTTAACGTCCACGGCCTGTTTCGTGGTATGGTAATACACGATCGTGTTTTGTAAGTGCAGGGTGGTGAGGAAACATCACACTGTAGTAGCACCAACTAGTTATGTACCATAGATGGAGCATATGTTGTATTTCATGTTCCTTCGGTTTATGCTTTAACCCTCGCCCGCACATGCCATTTTCCCATCCTAGAACGCACATGGGGGGGGGGGGGGGAGTTGCCACCCCCCGCGCCATTTCGTTCCTGTTGGAGATAGAGCTTAGCGGTAAAGACCAAAAAGATTCTTTGGGAAGAGACGAATCCAGTGATACCCAGTTTCACCTTCTCAGGTCAGTCATTGACCTTCCAGGTCAGGTCAAACTAAAAAATGTTGCTGTTTTGGGTCACCGTTGGATATCAAGTGCGCTGCTTATCATATACCGATGACGATGCCGTTTTCTGGTGCCAAGCCAGCTAGAACCTCTTTGTCACACTACCCGACCAGGTTTTTGCTGCTGAGGTCATTTTAGGTCAAGCTAGGTCAAGGTCAATTATATGTGTTTGTATGTGTGTGTGTGTGTGTGTCTGTGTGTATACTGATGTGTGCACCGATTGTTTATGTGTCCATATTACATGAAATAATGATCTGAGAAGCTTTTACCAAAAATGCAGTCAAAAAACTTCACAAAAAGTAAATTTCGCTTGCCCAAAACGCAATTATCTTAGATGACCTAGGTTGACCTTGACCTTGACATCTGTACATCGTCGAACAGCATGTTCCATGATAGGTGGGAGGTAAGACTGGCATGAAAGGCCGAAATCAAGGTGCCAAAAGCTTACAAGGCCCATAGCCAACGCAAGATGTTGAGAATTGGCCATTTGGGTCATGACATGACCTGAAAAAAAAAACAAGGTAATATCTCCGAAACCAAAAACCACAGAAACTTGAAATTTTCAGTGGACATCAAGAAAGGATAGAGGAGCAGCTATACGAAAAATCAGCCTCCTAGCTCTAAAAATGTAGAGTGCAGAGCAGAAAGACTACGTGGGGGTGGCAACCCCCCCCCCCCCCCATGTGCGGGCGAGGGTTAACATGACACCGTCGTTTGGTGATTTTATTTGTTAACTTTTGAGTTGTAGGGGAAGGTGGGGTAAGACGGACCAGCTAAGGTTTGAGGCCGCATATCTTCCTACACTGCTCTCGTAATTCATATTATTTATAGTCTTCGGAATGCTCAATCCTTCCTCTGTTGATATGTGTAAAAACTAAATTTCAAATTAACGACATCTAGGTGGTGGATGCTCTTCAAGAGGGACATGTCAAAAACTCAGACAAGAAAAAACGTGGGGTAAGACGGACCACCCAGCAGTGCCTGCTATCCATTCATGTGTGTTACACTTCTGCTCTGTACTCTTGTAAGAAAAAGTAACCAGAATGGTAAAATAACAAAATGAGCCTTTATTCTTTACTCATGTGTGATGGAAGTGCAGCTAAAAGCTGGGAACATGTGTGTTGATTGTCGTTTGGCATGAATGCATGCTAACTGAGCACTTGCATGCATGGCTCACATGCAACAAAGACTCCTTCCTGAAAAATTAGCTTACTTAAACTTGTGTCAATGTTTTGGAAAAGAACTTTCCATATGCAGGGTACAATGGACCACCACAGAGTAAGACGGACCACAGTGGTCCGTCTTGCCCCAAATCTAAAGTCTGTCATTATCATGACGTATATGTCAAATAGCCCTACATTGCAAAACCTTGCCTTTCCTAAAGTGTGACTATAACTAAGTTTATAACTTTGTTCTTCACAGTTAAGTGCAAAATAGAAACTAATCATGCAAGAAAGGCGCCGTAATTGAATCACCCGTAGACCTCTTATATTAGATCGGTTTGACGAAAAACAACATTTTTCTCAATAACTCAAAAGCTAGGCATCCTAGCAGCATGAGCTCAAGGTGGCCATTGTTACGAAGGACAACAAACATAGTGAGTGCATAAAGCAGTAGATACCAGCAGCGGTTCAGCCGGGAGGGCTGGTGGTCCGTCTTGCCCCGCTGGGCCGTCTTACCCCACCTTCCCCTAGAACCTCTGTGTCGGACGCCATCGTTTTTGTATTAATAAAGGGTTAATTAAGGGTTAAGGTTTTTTTATAAAGGTGCCGGGTTAAATATTCGGCATTCGTTTCTTTTTTAAACCTCGGCTTTTGTCAATAATCTTTGCTGAGTAGGTATTTGAGCGTCGGGTAATAACTCATAATCCCAAGTCAGGTGACCTCAAGATAAATGAACGCACGCTTATCATAACAAATTAATCGCTTTAAAATGTCGTTTATTTTTAATGGCTTTTGAACATACCAAAAGCCTGTGCGCCTTTGTTGACCTCATTTGGCTCTTTCGTGCAAAACCGGACCAGCCGGGCAGCAGCGCCCCCTCACGTGCCTTCCTCGGCGGGGCAGCTGGGTCGGTACGATAGGTGTCGCCGCTGCTGCTGGGCGGACCTCCTGCAGCCGAGCCCAGATCGGCTCGCCGAGCGATGACTTCGGTACACCTACACTAGAATTACTGTTATGTGTAGTCGACTACAGAATGATGTTCCACTTTTCACAGGCAATTATTTGCCTGGAGTGGTAGGCTGTGCCGCATCACACGGGCTGAGTTCACAAATTATAGTTTTGTCCCAATGCTCACAATCGACACGCTTAATTGCGTGATAAACGGCACAACTTAGCGCTCCGGTCAACTGATAGCTTCTGAGGAGTGGAACACCATTCTGTAATCGACTATATGTACAGTACGTTTCCATCCATCAATGTTTGCAGCTTCACGCGATAATTTATTTCATAATCTTATCAGAAACAAAAAAAAAAGAATGAGACGAAAAGGATTCCGTTCGTAGTTACCCTTTTTTCTATCAGCCGGCCTCGCTATACTTTCTGCATTCTCTTAGAGTCACGTACTTTTGTCACGTACCGTACCTGTGTGCTTTGAAAATGTACTGTACTATATAAGTATCTGTACCTATCACTGGTGCATTCTGGTCCATGTGCATTGAATGACGATAAGTTTGACCTTAATCTCATAAAGGAGTCTCTTTTATTGGCTCGTACCATTGACGATCATGCTGATAATTATCCTTCAGCGTACTTACCGTGCTCGCAATACCCCGCGCATAAAAGCCAACCCTTGTGCGTCGCCGGCAAGGACTACCGGGACAATGGAGACGCTCTGTGGACCGGCAGCGGAATGGAAACGTTCCCTGGCAGCCGGATGGCAGAAACGGCTTCCATTACCCGGCTTCCGCGCTCCTCCATTAGAAATGCGCGCCGGCACGCTATTTAGCGGCGTATCCATGACAACGCAAATGACTTTCTTAGTTGTCCGAGACCTTGCGTTTAGTCCATTGATGATGGCCAAGAAATTAGGCAGGATGTGGTTGGCAGATTAATTCTGCCGTACCTACATATAAGAATCGTTTTATGGGATTGATCATAGCTTATGAGACTGGAAGACCGAGTAATCATTTTCCGGTGCCTGATATAGCTTCAGTTGATGCTTGGAGTTTGAAGGTGAAACCATTCTGAGAGCTCAGTCACCATGCCACAATGATTATATATTTATCTGGCTGTATGATAACACGGAACAAAAATGATAGACAAACGCCTCGTGTTCTCCTTTTAGACGCGGATGACGGCGATTTAGCCGAAACGCGTTCGTCTATCATTTTAGTTTCGTGTTATTATAGGTACTTGTCTCAACTGAAATACAATTATCTGGCTGTGCTGTGACCTAGTGTGTGAGAATACAAACAAACAAATTGTGGTATAGCCTATTTCAGTCATCGTCATGGATATTTGATATTCGATCACGATGCCTTTGTGTTCAATATCTTGTGAAGAATCGCAAACCAGTATATTTTCTTCTGATTTCTGAATCGGTTACAGAAGATTGAATCTTTAAAGCCAAGGAAAAGGTCAAATATGTAGGAATGCGAGAGCTGTGAAACCATCCATTTTCTATGCTGTAAACTGCAAGTCAGAGTTTGTAACGTTTGTATGTAAACTCACCCGTCCCGTCATTCCCGGTCATTAGGCCCTCTGAACGGACCGCTCCTCCGCTCGAACCGCCCCACTGCATGACCCATCCCTCCCATGACCCATCCCTCCCATGACCCGTCCCTCCCATGACCCGTCCCTCCCATGATCCCTCCCATGACCCGTCCCTCCCATGACCCGTCCCTCCCATGACCCGTCCCTCCCATGATCCCTCCCATGACCCGTCCCTCCCATGACCCGTCCCTCCCATGACCCGTCCCTCCCATGACCCGTCCCTCTCCATAACCCTTCCCTCCCTTTGACCCTTCCCTCCCTTTGATCCCTCCCTCCCCGTGACCTGTCACTCCGCACGGTCCGTCCCTTGCAATGGCCCTCCCATCCATGACCCATCCCTCCGCACGGCCTGTCCCTCTGCATGACCTATCCCCTTCTAGTGACCTTCCGGCCCATGACCCGGGCCGGCGCCGGCAGCCCCTCTGAGTACCGGCGTCGGTCGCCCCTCTCCCGGCGCCGGTCGTACCGAGTGTCGGCGTCGGCGGCAGCGGCCCTCCCGAGCTCCTCAGTCGGCTTCCGAGCGTGCTGATCGACGGAGGCGAGACGGGAGGACCGACGGACCGCGCAGGGATACCGGAGCAGCAGGTGGGTGCCGGTGGGTGGATACCAGAGCAGTTAGTGGGTGCCGGTGGGTGGATAACGGAGCAGCAGGTGGGTGCCGGTGGGTGGATATCGGAACAGTGAGTGGGTGCTGGTTTAGGGTCTGAGCCCGGCCGGGGTCAGCTGGTCTAGCCGAGGGGAGAGATCCGTGGGAGAGAGGAACAGGTAGGTATGGGGCATCAGTAGGTCCATGATAAAACTACATGGGACGTTGTCAGTCGTTCGCTATTCTGGTGTTGTGGTAAATGGAGCTCAGTGGAACTGAGCTAACGGAAACTTGTGCAGATGCAATAATATCCCAGTTCAAAACAAGGCAATGCGAGGACTCCACGTGCAAACTGCAAACGTACTACTTAATTAAATGAACGCTTTCGGTTACGCTGTTTGTTATTAAGCACACCACCTCTTGCACCATGTTCTTTTACATCATTATAGTTGTATAGTTAGAGCGATCTGTCAAAGTGAATCTGTCATCAATTGATTGGTGCGTCTGGCTGCCGCCCAAAATCGTTCATCACATGGCAGAGCGGAACAGTTTTAGGCTCTGGAACGTGAAGTGTTATCTTCTTTGGAATCTTTTGACGTGGAACAGCGATAAAATTTCGTTAATGCGTCACACCAATTAACGGTCAGTAAGCATAGCAATAAGCGTCATGTTTCTACCCACGCACATGTCTGGCTTCTTGTTACCTGTGGTCGTAAAATAAATATCACAGAGGCGAGACGGTAGATGGGCCACAAAGCTGTTGCATCCAAAGCAAACATGTTCAATGTGTGTCTTGGAAACCGAAGCACCCTCAACATGGTGTTTTATGGACTGCTCGGACTCACAGTAAACATGGTACAGGATTTGTTAGACGTTGACTAACATCGAGATACCGACAGGCACTACGATGCGTGCTCTCAAGAAAAGGTATCGGAGTACGTCAAGGGGTTTCATAGTGTTATGGTTTTAATGACTCCACACAGGCTAGCGATGTTTGAAAAGGTGAACAGCCTCGCTCAAGGTCGCCGGGTCAGGTCAGGTGGTCGGTGCTGCCGGCGTCGCCGCTCCGATCCACGCTCACACGGTGACAGCAGGCGCCCACAGCAGCCCGCAGCCGCACGGCGGGCGATGACGCGGCACCGTGCTAAAATATGTACGGGATCGACAGGTGACAGGTGTTACACTAGCGCCACTGCAGGCAGCAGTATCTCTACATAATTGGCTCTGACATCGGTAGAATCAGTGCATCAGCTGAACGACACTTGTCAAAATGTTTTACAGCAATTGCTAGTGGGACGGACTTGAAATCGTTCTTATCGATGCTCTTACACTGTTTCTTTTTCGTTTAAATCGTGACGCTTTCTTTTTTAATACATCCTCTTTGCACAATTTTTTGTGCCCACTGTCACAGCAAAAATGACTTATTAATTTCACACCGAAATTTATGATAGCCGAGGTGCCGTCTTAGGTAAACACTTGATTACATCTAAAACGTGCTCAAGTGCGGAGCCCGGAGGCACGTCGACGCCCGTCTCCAAGTAAAAATAACTCCTACCTTGATCGCTGAAATTAATCGAATGAATGTTCCGACATTTTGGAACAAGTAATGTTTCGCTCACACCTCACTCTTATAGGAGCGGCCATAAGTTGGGTATATGGAATATGGAGTTTGGTCAAACTCATGTTGACTTGTGACGCATTGTGGTGTGTAACTAGAAAAACGTGATAGTTATAAAGGCAAATGATGCGATACACTTTGCTTACCCAAGAACAATGCTATATTTGAAGAAAAAAGACGTTACGACTCTACAAACAGTCTTTTCCCTACAGAATCCCGTGCTGCTGCTCAGAGCCGCCATACCGATAAACGGACAGTACCTAAAGACAAGCATGAGCCCTTAGACCAATGTCTGTGAACATTTATCCATAAACTTCGAACAGATTTACAGCTCCATTAAGTTGAAACTGTCTGAAACAGATCAAACCGAATGCATCTCTTAGCACCAACTCAGTGAGCCTTTTGTTTATCGATCGTACTCAATGACTCAAGGAAACTCTCAAAATTAGGAGTTACGATAACACCATCCCTGCAACACCAATGCCAGTGACCAGTCGACCGAACCGCCTCTTTCCAGCACCGCCTTAGTATAGCGTTCTTCGAAGCAGACATAGGATTAGCCGCGCCGGACACGAATTCACACTAAGTGTGGCTAGCTCCAGGAGCGCCCGATCTGCATATCTGTTCGTATCTGTAGACGTGCCCGGACGTGGTGTGGAACCTGGCTAAGGTCGCTAGCAGCGGCTAGAGATGCATGAGAGCTGCAACTTGCTCATGTTTGCTGCTAGCCGTGATAGATAAATCCAGAGTGGTTATGAAAAATATTTTTATAGGCACCAACAATCATGTTACGAACAAGCTACGGGCGGGAAATGTGCGCAGTCCCTGAGTAGCAAGTCGTGCGGCACAGTATGCATCAGGCGAAATCACTCAGAGACATCTAGTGAGAGAAGGTGGAGAATAGGCTTGACAGTGTATGTCAAGCCTATTCTCTGACCAATAGGTGTCACTAGCCATATCCTAGTTATGTAGTCTGCCGCTAGATGGCTTTGGATTATGACGCCTGCTGCATGCTGTGCCGCATGACTTGCGGCCGCCCGCCGTTATCGGCAAGCGGCGCTTTTTCACTCCTTGGTCGGATTTTTGTTGTAGCCTGTGGGTACTATGCGAGTGATGGATGATCACCAAGGCTGTGATCCAGGCTTTGACAGTGATGCTTATTATAATTCGAATGTTTACAAAAACGAACTTTCCGAGCCCGGTGATAATGCGAAACAATAATTTCAATGCGCATCTTCGAGTTCGCAAGTATCCAGAATCGTAGATATAAAGAATGAGGCTCCTGCCGCACATTTTCAGATTAGCACCGCATACCTGCTGGTAATTTCCGCTCCATCTGTCCGTCCCTGTCAGCCACAGGGGCAGTTCGCATCCGCCACTGGTCGACGGGATGAATCCTACTTCCTGAAAAGGATGCGTGCGTCTGACACACAAAACTGAATGATCTCTCTGATAGCCTTCACATGTGGGCTCTACAAAAGTATGCTTCAAACGAGATCGCCTTTGAGCAAGTAGCTTGCAAATGTCGAGCTAGACACGACGATTATTGAAGTGGTAAATCGTCAATCACCGAAGGGCCGTGAAATATATGGCTATCCGGAATCATCTAAAAAGCGCCGCCTTTTTACTATATTTTCCCCTTATGCGTGTGTTTTATGTATTATTCAATTTATCTTTTAATTACACGATCCATTCGATCTTGATTCCGACTATCATTTATGCTGAATAATGTGTATGATTGTTTCTGGGTTGTTTTTTATGCCCGTTAGTTCTCTATGTCTTTTGTGAGATTTTGAATTATTTTTAAAGTACCAAGAATTGGGCTTTGTTTTAAAATCTTGCATTTGTAGTTGGTGCTTTGCTGAGAGGAATAACTGTCCGCATAGTCATGGAATCCCTACGGATATGTACTATGTAGCTTCCAGATAAGCAACTGGAAGGTCACCCTTGGCAAATTTAGCAAATCTATCTTTCTGTTATCAGAGCCGTGTTTCCCTTTAAGTAGATGAGAGCCATTATGTTAAAGCCAGCTGATATATTCGTTGGGCTGACCTTCGACCTAGAAATATCGGTACCTATGTACTAAATGGATTCGGTTAGTCCCAGTCTCAGAGATAACTAGCTCCAATTTAACGACACCAAGTCTGTACACTCCTTTCACCGAGATGGACTGATAGGCCCCTGTACTAGACACTTTTTATAGTAACGTCATGGGCACTTCAATTGACAGAAAGCGAAGACAATTTCTGCCTATGTCCCATAGTTCTGCTTCCCAGCATACTGATGCTGGTCCTTAAAGTGACGTCCTTCGAATTGTCTGCGTTTCGTTCCAGGATCGTGTCACGCTCGCTGACTCTCCAGGACGGATCACCTACAGCATGCTGCCGCCGCCGCCGCTGCTGTTACTGCTGGCTCTGTTTGGGCCTCCTACCGCCGCCTTCACCACCCCGCCTCCGTCGGACGGCGGGCAGCTCACTGACGAGCTGCAGCTGCCCGACGAGCTGCAGCTGTCCGAGGAGGACCTGCAGCTGCTGCAGCTGCCCGACCACCAGCTGGACGTGCTGCTGCAGCAGCTGCAGGCGGCCGAGCCGGCGAACGGCTCGCGCTGGTCGGCGGCGGCCACCACCAGTGAGCGGCGCCGCCAGTGTGACGAGCAGGGCGCCGGGCCGCCGCCACCCAACCACTGCCGGCTCACCTGGGACGAGGCGCTCTGCTGGCCAGAGTCGCCGCCCGGCACGCTGGTGCTGCTGCCCTGCTTCAAAGAGTTCAGAGGCATCATCTACCCCAAGGGAGGCAACAGTAAGTGCCGCGGCTTCATGGAACGGGAGCACTCCGAAAACGCCTCACTTTATATATCTTGAGAAGTAGAAGAAAAATATTTCATACCATTATTTTACAACATTTATACGCTTGAAAGTCACACACATTTCAGTTCCTTTATTTCAATCACCACTAAAACAGGAATATTGAATGGGGCAGTGACCTACGCCCCGGCGTGTCGTGCCGTAGTGTGGCGTGACGTGCCGTGCCTGTCGAGCACCCCATGAATCAAAGCTCCGTACTACCGGCTTTGATCGGGCGTGTAATCTGACCTCCGGCCGGCGGCGGCGTCCCGTCTGCTCCCGACGGCCCGTGGTCAGTGACCGTTCCATCCCCCCGCGGCGGTCCGGCAGACCGCCGGACCGGGGTATACGTAGGTACAGTACACCGCGGACCGACAGCCGGTGATCAGCTATCGACAGAGCTGTGACCGGCCAGACGGCCGCTCGATCACCTAATAAGGACCACGCCACTGATTACCCCGTCTGAGACGGGTCAGCGGGACGGTAAATACCCGGAAACTACATATATACCGGCACAGGGCTCCTCCCGGGGCCCATTCATTCGGCCGTCACTGGGCCTCGGCGCTCAGGGGAGCGGCCGGTCCGAGAACGGCATATCTGCGCCTCAGAACGTCCGTCCTAATCATATAAACAGCCGCCTTTTCATTACTTTTAAACGCATTAGAGCGACATTGTGAGAGAATGTAGAATATTTTCGTACTTTTTTAATTATATGATCACTATATATTACCTATTAGTTCAAAACAATATATTTTCATCATTTTTTCCTTGCGTAGTCAAACGGAAGGCACCATCAATCAATAATTCCAGCGTTTCACGGAGCGACGTGAACTCTTTCCGGACACATTTGTCGGCGAGCAGAGGAGCTGTAGAAGTTTGCAGCGGCTCCGATGAAGTGGTCTGTCGATTCTGAGCGCGGCGGCTGCCACTGAACGGTGCACCGGAGCGGCGACCGCTGACCGGCGCCGCGCGACGGTCCGACGCGCCGAGTTAGCCGCACGTACTCGGCTGAACAAAGTTTGACATGAAGTTGCTCCGTGGGCGCCACCCCGAGACCTGGCGCCGCGGGGAGAGAGGACAGGAGAGGGGAGGGAGAGGGAGGAGGAGGAAGTGATCCAGCCCTCTGATGGAGGCTCGGGGTCAGCCAGGAGACTGGGAAGTTTGCAATCTCAGTTGCCATGAGTCTGGCGCGAGCTTATCATATGTGCTGTTTTAAAAAGCAACTGAAGTTGAACGTTTCCTTTTTCAAAGTTACCGTTCAACCAGGAGAGTAATTACCCGAAGCTTTGCTTGCAAAATCCCCATAATCTATTACGAGACTAGTGTGTCTGTGTGTTTGTGCTCATGTGTAAGTACTCACTGTCTGCGCTCGCACTTGGATGCCTCCGTGGCTCCATAATGGCCCGCTCATGACCTTAACGCGGGTTTCCTTTAGTTGTGTTATTCTAACGAGCCAAAACTTCATGGTCACCTGACACTACATCGTGTTACAGACACGGCCAGCCATTACTGCCACGTGACTTTACTCCATGTTCCAGACACGGCCAGTCGCTACTGTCACGTGAACGGCACGTGGGACGCCACGGCTAACTACTCGGACTGCATCCCGCTGTTCAGCGAGGTGCTGCCGCCGCCGGACGAGTTTCGACGCTCCGAGTACACGTCGATCATCTACCTGATCGGCTACAGCCTCAGCCTGGCCTCACTGACTGTGGCCACCGCCATATTCGCCTACTGCAGGTCAGTAGGTAGTGGATGGAACAGAACGTCTTATACTGTAGCTCAGTGGAAGCGAGAGATTTAACAGCATTGCTTTATTAGTCATTGGAACAGAATTGCGATCCGTGGAAGGTGTCAGAAGGATCAAATTCGTTCCCCACTGTCTATGTAAACGTATAATTACACTATGCAACAAAAAATGAAACATTTTCTGTTCCTGGAAAGCGACCGAATTTTTTTTATTCATTGGGTCCTATTATAACCGAAATGGGCATTGGAGTTTTCTTAATTACACAAAGCAAGTTATCGGTACATCAGACCAGTATGGTAGGTGGAAGCCCATCAACTAGCATGGACGGCGACACAAGTATGGCGCTAGATCTGGGTCAGACATAATGTCGCGATCTTCGGTAACAGTATATGGGCATTAGTTTTGATCTGAAAATGCTTTTCCGGTTTTCAGAGACGATTTTCGATTTTTGGCCCCGAAATTCGGTTTTTGGCCCACCGTGTCCGATGTAATTGAGTAATCGACTCGCGGTAACTTTCATCGCCTTTCCTATGCCACAAGCTTTCGAATGATATCTGGTTTTGCATATTTGCGTGCAAAAATAACGTCATAAATCTATGTTAAAGTAAGAAAATGTTTTACATCTGAGCCCAGTTCCTTGAAGAGCATTCAATTTCCGTTCGGAAGGTACCTTTTTAGTGCATTTTATCGGATTCCTGTGGCGTCCAGATTGAGTTAACCTAAACACATATCTTAACCCTCGCCCGCACATGGGGGGGGTGGTTGCCACCCCCCCCCCCAGGCAGTCTTTCTGCCCTGCACTCAACATTTTTAGAGCTAGAAGGCTGATTTTTCGTATAGCTGCTCGTCTATCCTTTCTTGATGTCCACTGAAAATTTCAAGTTTCTGTGATTTTTGGTTTCGGAGATATGACCTTGTTTTTCAGGTCATGTCATGACCCAAATGGCCAATTCTCAACATCTTGCGTTTGCCATGGGCCTTGTGAGCTTTTGACACCCTGATTTCGGCCTTTTTTGCCAGTCTTACCTCCCACCTATCATGGAACATGTTGTTCGACGATGTACAGGGGTCAAGGTCAGGGTCAAGGTCAACCTAGGTCATCTATGATAATTGCGTTTTAGGCAAGCTGAATTTACTTTTTGTGAAGTTTTTTGACTGCATTTTTGGTAAAAGCTTCTCAGATCATGATTTCATGTGATATGGACCCAAAAACAATCGGTGCACACATCAGTATACACACAGACACACACAGACATACAAACACATATAATTGACCTTGACCTAACTTGACCTGAAATGACCTCAGCAGCAAAATTCTGGTCGGATAGTGTGACAAAGAGGTTCTAGCTGGCTTGGCACCAGAAAACAGCATCGTCATCGGTATTTGATAAGCAGCGCACTTGATATCCAACGGTGACCCAAAACAGCAACATTTTTTAGTTTGACCTGACCTGGAAGGTCAATGACTGACCTGAGAAGGTAAAACTGGGTATCATTGGATTCGTCTCTTCCCAAAGAATCTTTTTGGTCTTTACTGCTAAGCTCTATCTCCAACAGGAACGAAATAGCGCGGGGGGGGTGGCAACCACCCCCCCCCCCCCATGTGCGTTCTAGGATGGGAAAATGGCATGTGCGGGCGTGGGTTAAGTCATATCACATAGCATTAACCTGATAACGTATGTTAACGCCATAGGATCAACGAGGGGTCAACTGAGGTCATTTTGTTGACCCCTTGTGACCTCGGGTCACACGCAGGCACTTACCTTTGAGCAGTCCTGTCGCTCAGAATCTTGATCTGTTGGGGGCCCGTTTTTCAAGTGACTCAATCTGGACGCCACAGTAAACCGATAAAATGCACTAAAATAGTACCTTCCGAACGGAAATTGAATGCTCTTCAAGGAACTGGGCTCAGAATTTGGATAGGGCCTTTATTTTTTTTTCTCTATTTTGAAATGAAATCGAAAAAAATGTCAAATTTTTTACAAAATTTCAATATTTTCTTACTTTAACATAGATTTATGCAGAGGCGGCGGAAGGTAATTTGGGATGGGGGGGGGGGGCACACCTGATCCTTCCCGGAACCTAGGGTACCCCCAAATCTAGTTTTCTCACCGGTTTTAGGCCACTTATTTTTCACCCCTTGGCCTTTACAACGAAAAATCGAAACGAAAACATTTGCAAAAAGTGAGATATCCCGTCTCATCTGAGTCAAGGAACTACCTTTTTGGTAACTTGGAATACACGTTTAAAGCTTTCACACATGAGCTGTCAAATCAGGTATAGAGGGGGATTTTTTTACTTAAATAGGTATTGTCTTCCATTCAGCTTTTCTTTGAGGCCCACGGCCGCTAATATAGGGAGGACAAGCTGCCCCGACGGTTCCTGGCCCTATGAAACTTTGTGGGGGCAGCGCCTGCGCCCCCCACGGCCCCAGAGTTGTGGGGGCAGGCTACCCCCATGCTGCCCCCCGGCTCACGAGTCTATGCCGGCTGGCGTCTGGCAGAGTCGCGGGGAAAGGCCTGTGGCACGCTCAGACGCGCTTCTGTGACGTCCGCATGCCGGGCCACTCGCGTTCCGTCCTACTCTTCCGGTTACCGGTAGCTCGTAGATAGCTGCTTGATTTCTGAGCATTATGTGTGGAGGGCGTTTGGTGGAAATGTATGATATTTAGAGAATGAATATGTGCTTACATGTTGTCACAGTCTTCTGCGTTAGAACGCTCCATAATGAAGGTTGTTTCTGGTTAACATTTCGAAAAGGTAATAAATCTATGAAATTATGTTGGTAGATTTCCGATTTCGATTCCTCCGGTTGGAGGGTCTCAAATACCTACATTACGAGCCCTCCCCCCGCCGAAAAGTTGGAGGGGCTCAGCCCCCGCTAGCCCCTCCAGCCGGTTCCCGGGAACCGCCCCTCTGGTTCCCGCGCCACTGCGGCAAGTCCAGTTCAAATACGTGTAGCACGCTGTGGCTGTCACCGTGACTGTTGTTCGCGTTGAACAACTTGCTTCCTTTAAACCAATGACGTCATTAAAGTTAGCCAATTATTGGCTATTGCAAACCTTTTTGGTTGGTAACACTCGCACTGCAAAATGCTAGCCAATGTGATCAAAATATGTACGACGACATTGACAACAATATCAATCCATTCCAAATTACTCGCTCTATTAACTTAAAAAGGTACTCAGCCAAACTGGCATATGTTCATGACGTAGTATGGAAGTATTGTGGTACTTCGTCGATAACAATTTGGGGGGGCAAAAAGATATGTTTGCACCCCACCCTGGAAGATGGGGGGGCGCCGTGCCCCCGCTGCCCCCCCCCCCCCCGCTTCCGCCGCCACTGGATTTATGACGTTATTTTTACACGCAAATATGCAAAACCGGATATCATTCGAAAGCTTGTGGCATAGGAAGGGCGATGAAAGTTACCGCGAGTCGATTACTCAATTACACCGGACACAGTGGGCCAAAAACCGAATTTCGGGGCCAAAAATCGAAAATCGTCTCTGAAAACCGGAAAAGCATTTTCAGATCAAAACAAATGCCCATTTCGGTTATAATGGGACCCAATGAGTCCAAAAAAATCGGTCGTTACTCAGGAACAAAATGACTGTTGCATAGTGTTATGAGCCATACCATAGTCTGATTACGAACTCCCCAGTTCTTAATTGTTGTTTATTTCCTCTTACAGACGGCTTAATTTGTACATCTATTGAATGAATATAATGTCTGTTTCAGGGACCTTCGCTGCCTACGAAACACCATCCACGCTAATTTATTCATCACCTATATTCTGACCGACTCGCTGTGGATTATTACCTTGTCAATGGAGGTAAGTCAAGTTTCACCAGCATCAGAAACTTCCGGACTCTAGTCTCGGCAATGGCATAACTCGAGAAGCGTAATAAATGTTACAAATGGCAACTATATCACATGCTACACTGTCACCCTTGAATAGCAGTTTTGAGATTTGCCTTTAACAGCTTCTGACATAATTTAACCGTTATGCCGGGTGTTTACGAACTGCGTGGACCGCACTGGCCCGCCGTCCTGAGCTCCCTGCTCCCGTTACAGCTGGTGTGGGCTGTATAGCCGTGCTGACCTGCCCTGTTGCCGTTTCAGCTGGGTGTGGGCTGTATTATAGCCGTGCTGACCTGCCCTGTTGCCGTTTCAGCTGCTGTGGGCTGTATTATAGCCGTGCTGAGCTGCCCTGTTACCGTTTCAGCTGCTGTGGGCTGTATTATAGCCGTGCTGAGCTGCCCTGTTACCGTTTCAGCTGCTGTGGGCTGTATAGCCGTGCTGAGCTGCCCTGTTACTGTTTCAGCTGGTGTGGGCTGTATAGCCGTCCTGAGCTCCTTGCTCCCGTTTCAGCTGGTGTGGGCTGTATAGCCGTCCTGAGCTGCCCTGTTGCCGTTTCAGCTGGTGTGGGCTGTATAGCCGTGCTGAGCTGCCCTGCTCCCGTTTCAGCTGGTGTGGGCTGTATAGCCGTGCTAAGCTGCCCTGCTACTGTTTCAGCTGGGCGTGGGCCACCCCACCTTCACCTGTGTGATCGCCGTGCTGCTCCATTACTGCCTGGTGGCCACCTTCTTCTGGATGTTTGTCGAAGGTAATTTACACTGCTGTGCGTCCAATCCGGCTGCAATTGAGTCACTGTATCGTCCACGCAACTGCAATAAAGTCAAACAACACTATCGCGAAATGCATGATTTTGCCGTGGGTACGCAAACATCCTTGCGACTTTTTCAAAGCAATAGTTACTCGTTATTTCGTAATTATTACCCTCCCTCAGCCGAAAATTTGGACCATCAATAGAACTGGTCGTTCAGAAATTGAGAGAACAGTTGGTGTTTTTGTTTCGTACGAAAACGTACGTTTACACTTCGAAGCTGCGCAAAAAAATTTGACCAACAGATTTGCTTCTTACCTTTGGAATAACGCACCGTCCTAATTTTTACGTTAAAAAACACCTTTTTGTCGCTTCACTCTGTCCATTACTATCTGACAATACTGTCTGCTCACAGGCCACTACCTCTATATGCTGGTCGTCCAAACATTCTCAGCTGATAAAATTCGCACTCGTCTCTACCTATTGGTTGGATGGGGTGAGTAAAATAAGTTGAATATTGCACTCGCTGATTTTCAACGCTGTGTTACTGCTATCTGCTAATAAGTAGTAAACTTCCCATTTTACTCTTAACTTGGTAGCTGTCTGCGGGCTGGGATGGCTCACGATTCTTCTGCTCTGCAGGCGTCCTCTGCTGATGATCACGTGGATGAGTTGTACCTTTAATCACGTGACCGCCTGTCCGTCAGGCGTGCCGCTGCTGGTGATGATCACGTGGGCGCTGGTGAAGGTGCGGACCAGCGAGCCGGCCGGCCGGCTGGCGGCGGGCGGCTCGCCACAGCTGGAGTCGCTCATCAGCGACACGGGCGCGGCGAACACCATGGCCGACGGCTGGTCAGTCGCGGTCAGTACCCCAGTACCCCAGTACCTCGGTACCTCTATGACTGAGTACCTCAGTATCCTAGTACCCCAGTACCTCAGTACCTCAGTATCCTAGTACCCCAGTACCCCGGTACCTCGATAACCCAGTAGTGTCACTGTGGTACCTAAGTACCTCAGTATTCTAGTACCCCAGTACCCCAGTACCTCAGTACCTCGGTACCTCGATAACCCAGTACCTCAGTATCTGTAAATGCGCGAGTGAACTGTTACAGGTATTGTACTCACCTGTGGCATTGTACTTATGTACGGCATTGATGACATGCTCACTTTTTATGCAAAGGCACCGTGCCTGCCAGTTGCTCCAGTAATCGGCACTGTGCCAGCCAACGTATCTGCAATCTCGCTCAATGTGTCCATTAAATGCTGGCTTGATGATTTTATTCAATGTATGAAAAAGTAGTATAGTCGAAACTATTTTTGCTGTACCAGCGACATAAAACAGCATTTTGCCATTCTTGGAGTGGGACAAAATCTGTAGCTAACAAAGCAGGCTACAGATGCAGAATGACCAATAGCAATCCTTTCCTTCAACTGTCTCCATTGTCTTTGAGATCCCCAACCCTCACCCCTCCCGTGACTGGCGCTAATTTAATTGCATCCATGCGCTAACCCGATTAGGAGAGCTGTGTGTGATCATCCCGGTAACGTTCATTTCCTGTGTTCGGGTACGCCGCGGCGCTAAATTGGACGCTAATTTGTCTAACATCGTCGTTATTGCGCCGCATTGGTAATCGATTTGGCATTTATGCCTCTGAATCACAGCCTTGTGTTTGACAATGCAGGGTGATATCCTTCCGATTGCTATTTAGTTATCAAACCATTGGCGGTCCTGTCATACACATATGTGCCTTTATTCGCAGAACAGCTACTCAGTGCGTGTATTAAAAGCGCTGCGAGTGTTGGCTTAGGAGCGTGTAATAAGTGCCGTGCCTGCTCGGAGACCCCACTTGGCTCGACACTGAGTGAAGCTGAATTGCACCCTCCAAACGAGTCTCAATTTCGCGCTGCAGAAAAACAAGCGCACCCGCGTCCGTGTGTTTATTTGAGGGCACTCGCCTCAATTATTGCTTAGTGTCGAAAGGCCAGACAAACAGGCTCCGTTGCCAGGCTGCATAAAAGTAGCGTTTAACCAGCGACCTGTGACTCACTGGCGTTGTGCTGTTCCACATCCTACCATGGTTATCGAAACATCGTCTGTCTTCAATGTTTCTAGACCGCCAGCAGAGCACGGTACAAGCAACTGTGTTCAAGAGATGCTGAAAGGCAGCTCTGTTGATAATTCCTTACCATCAGACTACATAAAGTCGTTAGTCGCGTGTTAGGAAGCACTCCGTGGGAAATCTCCTGATCCGGACTCCACTGGCCACCGTGCAGACCCTCCCCCCTCTATCCGAGGTCTATGATGACCTGACCTCTGTCGGCTCTATGATGACCTGACCTCTGTCGACTCTATGATGACCTAGCCTCTACCATCTCCGCCCGCAGCCGGTGCTAGACGAACAGGGTGGCTACTCGACCCAGTGTCGGTGGCTCTCCTCCAGCCACTGGGACTGGATCTACCTGGCGCCCGCCCTGCTGGTGCTCAGCTTCAACATCATCTTCCTCATGCGCATCATGTGGGTGAGTACCTTGTCTATATCGTACAGGAGTACGTGTGCCTGTGGGCTCATGTAAGAACCTTCATCGCCGAGCTACTGCTGCATAATGTGGGGAGTTCCTACCCACAGTTCTCTTGGCTACTCATACTGCCGTGCTGGCTACATCGTGTGGGTGAATACCAGCATCGCCGTACTGCCGCACCATATTATCAGTGGTGAAAAGAGAACCTCTTTCTGCTGCCGGTTGCCTAGTCAATTTCCCGGTATACTTCGTCGCAGCTTTCAGAGCGGAGTGATTGAGTTGTGTAGTGAGCGTGCGTCTCAGCAATTTCTTATTAGCCAGCCTTTGCTGCAAATCGACGGCAGAAGATGTGATCGAGGATACTGTCGCGAATAGGACGCCTCAGTTCAAAGTGCGTTCCTCCCGACCGCCCTGCCGTGAAGCCAATCGGTCTCCTGTGGCGGCGCGGCGCGAGGTGCGAGCTGCGTCTGTCAGATGGGACGGCAGCCTCCGGCTATTGGCGCTGCAGCTAGAGCAAATAGACGGCTGCCGCGGCCGCGGCCGGTGAAACGCCGCGGCGGAGCTTCATATGGCGCCGGGCCGCTGAAAGGAGTCGTCGCGCTCCAACCTGGGCGGCCACGGAGCCAGATCAATGGTGCATTGCGCACTCTGTCGCCCATCAGAGCTCGAGCCAGCCGGATTTGTGGCAGTTTCTGGTAACATTATATATGGATCACCTACAAGATAAAGATGTGCGATTGCATCCACCTCGGACCATTGGTAGCGTAGATGTTTTAACCCTCGCCGGCACAGGGGGGGGGGGGGTTGATGCAACCCCTTTAAGGTTTTTTTCGCGAATAACTCGCGTAAAAAGCGGTCGATTGCGACGACACTTTCAGTACCCTCGCATTGATCAATTTTACACCTACCCTTAAAATTTCATGACCCTGGCCCAAATGACCTTTGACCTGTGACCTCTTTTCCGAGACCATGTTTGGCCGGAATCTCGATTCGGCGTATGTCGGCTCGCATTACGAGTAGCCGCGCATATAAATCACACACTTTTTGGAGGAGAGGTCTTTTTCTGGGATGAATTGCTTTTCTTCAAATGATGAGAAACTCCTGTGCCTCGCTTGCTCTTTTATTGCTCCATTTTGGGCGAAGCTTGCTTGGCGCCGAGTTCGTAAGGACTTGTTCTTCCTTGCATCTTCGAAGAAATTCGATTCGTTCGGTCGTTCGGTTTGCTTTCGTTAAAGATAGAAAGATTGCCTAAAGTGATATGGCTCATTCATTGCACTTCTTGACATGTTGAGGATTATCAATAGACAGGTGTGATATATTATAGTGCATGTATGGCCTAAACTTTTGAATTTATTGTAAAAGGGGGAAAACGCAAGAAATTACCCAACGTTTCGCATTTATTGCTTAGTCATGGGTCTTCGAGTGCGATTGTGACACTTTTGAATACATCATGTGAAAATTGCATATAAATCACACACTTTTCTCTCCTCCAAAAAGACCTCTCCTCCAAAAAGTGTGTGATTTATATGCAATTTTCACATGATGTATTCAAAAGAGTAGCCGCGCGTTTGCAAGCTTTTCGTGGTTTCAAACGTTCAAACATGTGATTTGATGTTGTTCCCATACATTAGGGTGGGTGTCAAGGTCACCTGAAGGTCAGGTCAGGTCATTGACCTTTGGTGACCTCGGTTCACTTTTTCGAGTTTTACATGTTTCTAGGCTAGTTTTTGGAGCTGAATTCAAATTTAGCAACCATTTGAACATTTACGAAGTAGTTTTGGTGCCTTCGTAACATGTTACGAAGCTGTCAGAGGCGACACGTTTTACGAATACCCGTTACAACCCCTACCGGTTGACCTGACCTGACCCGACCTGGTCGGTCTAAATGCTTAAAGACATCATTTCTGATCAAAACTAACACGATATTCGTGATCAGCACCCCGGAAAACCACATAGCAGCCACACTTTACGACTTTCTAACAGGTCCCGATTTTCCCGGTTTTCGGGTCATTGACCTGACCTGGAAGGTCACCCGATGACCTAGGACCTTAAAATTGGGTATCATCGGCTTCCTCTCGTGACGGGAAACACGCTCGTTTTTCCGCGAAGCTCTAGCTCGATCAGGGGCCAAACGCGAGGGAGGGGGTCGTACCAACCCCCCCCCCCCCCTTGTGCCGTCGAAGGACGCAAAATGGCCTGTGCCGGCGAGGGTCAAGGTTTGTGGCTCATGTTATATGTAGTTCTAAATTGACATTGTCTAAATAAGGATATTGCAACAGCAAAAACACAATTGAAAGCATTTCAAAATATATCTGTGTTACATAACTCTGGCATAACATAACCAAAAGCTATTTCGCCTTATACCACGTCTTCAATTATGGCCTCGCGAAACCAACATCATTAAAGAGCTTGATGCATGCATGGTCAGGCTTAAAACCGCCCCGCCCGGCTTTCGGAGGCTTCCTTCCAGCGGCGCTCCGGGCTTCCTATTGGAACGGTCCATTCATACACCATAAGCTCTGGAACGGGTAAAGGAGACGTCGCTTCAGGCAGTGGCCCTCCTCGAGGGCCCAATAGCTGGGTTGCAAATTATCAATCTTGTTCAAAGTACAATAAACGATGTGTTGTAACGCAGTACAAAGTGGGCTCCGATAGATTCGCTGGCTTATGCTCGCTGGCAAACTTTGAAAAATTACATGAAAACACTGCCGTCACTAACATCCGTGATTTGCTGTCCATACCACCGGAGAAAGACGCATACTAGTGACGTCACGAAATAGAATGTCTGATTGGCTTCAGTCTGCTGAGTGGCCGTCTGAACAGTGTTTCCGACGACACACTAAAAACACATCAAAGCAGCGTTCGTCGCTGCTGAATACAAGGACTATACGAAAAAGTTGACGATTTAAAGCGCCGGACGGTTGTGGGTTTCTGTCATCCTGCCAGTATGGGGAGGGGAAGAAGAGCCGGTCGGTCGAGAGAGCCTCGCCCCGGCTGGCTCCGGCCACCGCTCTCAGACTGTGCCGCTCCATTTCGCGATTCCCAGAGATAAAGTGGGGTGATAATAGGGAGGGAGGAAGGACGACGCTTACCGCACGGTTTGTGCTGCGAATGATAGCTGTAAACTCGCAATATTGGACAAATTCTGCACTACAAAGGGGATGAAGGAAGTGGCTTGGTATGTTCCAGTTCTGAAGTACCATTGTTTATCACGGGTTGAATGTGTTTGTGCTTAAATTTTTGTAGGCTGTAACTTGCTTTAATTTTGTTCGAAGCAAATAAAGTTCGTCGAAATTCGCAAACATTGCCTGCCTACCTACCAAATAGGATAGAAAAGCTGCACAAATAAACAACACTTGGAAGCTGCTCAGTGAGGAGGCCTTGAACGTTTTTCATTTCCCACATCCGTTTTATGGCTTTGGTCTCTTTTTAGCTCGAATAGTTTGGCGTTAATGCTCGGCATGGTTCAGGTTTCGGTTGTGCCACGTCAACATTTCCCTCAGCTCAAAGGAGCTGGTCAGCCTGGGAAGCGGACCGGAAATTTTACTTGCTCTCGCAGCATAAGATCTGGAGGAACTGCATGCGCAGCGGTAAGAACGACCGTTGAGACTCCGCCTAAATGGAAAGCTTATACGGCGAAGTTAATTACATACGTGAAATGACGCAAAAGCAATGCCAGTGTAAACACTGAACTGTCACTAGTCAGTAGTCAATTCATTCGTCCCTTAATTGTCACTGATTGTCTTTTCTAGCCCTAAATACCCTCTGGAAAATCCCAATTCCGCAGGATGGGTTTGCCTATAAAGCCAACACTAACATCAGCCCTCGGTAGTCATGCCGCCTGTTGAGCCCATGATCTTGGTCACGTCAAGACGGGAATGACTACAATATTGCCGGTGGATTTACCGTGTCATCCGTGGATTTACCGTCATCACAGAAGCCTGATTGTCGGCTGACTGTGTGCCGCCTGCGAATGCATTAGCGCCGCTATACCAAACCATGCTATGCATACTGCGCATTGCTGGCTCTATAGGACTGGTGAGGCCCTGACAGGGGCCCTCTGGCCCAGCGCTGGGCTCTGGCCGTGGAAAGTCGTGTCCAGCGGGCAGTTTTTTCGGCGATCGTCCGCCGCCGACGCCTCCATCCCATCGGCTGCTGTCTCGTCGGCGATAACGGAGCATCGGCGCCGACGGCCCGTCACCCCCACTGCGCCCGACGGGAGATAGAAGGAGCGGAGAGAGAGAGGGAGAGGGACGGTGGAAGTGACAAGGAAAACAGAGCGGCGAGAGGAGACCGGAGCCGACACTGGACTCTGGCCAGTGGTGAATAGAGCGGCAGATGCCCTCCGCGCTGTCCGCTGGCGTGGCAACAGGACCATCCCAGGGATGGATGGATGCATAGGCGTCGCCAGAGATTTTCGGTTGGGGGGGCAAAATCAACTTGTGTGTTAAAACTTGCCTTTCCCCAGTCTTTACTCACTCGTTTTACATATCATTCGACGCGCAATTATGCGAAGAGTCCGATGGTGACAAAGGTTTCCTTCTAGCTATGATATGTAATTTTTTACAGAAAAATTCGAAATTTAAAAATTTCATGACAAAAACGACTGGTAGAATTATACTGGCTGCGATTGCCGACGCACTACAGAGGGCCCCTGTGCAGGCACTTGACACTCATGATCATTAACCCAGAAAAAGGTGAAAAACGCTCCATTTAATCGGATCACCCTGCTAAAACCTCCATTCACGCATGCATGCAGAGGTTTTACGTGAAATGCATAGGACTTATCCCAGCCGCCGATCGTAGTAAAGTTGGGCATTTGGCGGAGAGCGAATGTCAGAAGTGTGAATCGGAAGTAATTCATCTTTGCTCCAGTGAGAGGAAGTGTTTTGTTCACTCGAGTGTGAACAAAAGTTTCTCGTTTTTCGTGTGAGGGGAAGCGCTGCAAACGCGAACAAGAACTGTTAAACGGAACCAAAAGTTACGCACGGCATAGCGGCAAGGGATTCCTTAAAGGTAGGTTTGGGACTTCCAGGCCATTTCAGGCCACTCAGGGTCAGTGCTGACTCTCAGAAGCATGCTTAGGATCCCGGAGATCGGCATGGGTCACCTCAAATATTTACGTGTAGGTACATGGTGCTTTAGGGCTTTCCGAGCCCAAGGTGGGGCCCTCAGAAGCCAGTGTGGGCGGCGGGCGCTAAGAGACTAGGCCCAGGGTGAGCCTGGAGCCCTCGGATAACAGTGTGAACCCTCGGGGTCTGTGTCGAATCCCTAAGGACCCTACGTAGGGACATAATAAACATGTGTTGCGGACCTCAGAGGGACACGTAAGCTGTGACCCCTCAGATGCCGGCTTGGGGTTAGCAAAGTCTGTCGCCTCAAAAGTTTGGCTGAACTATCAGAGGTCAGTTAAGGTTCTCAGAAATGTTCGAAGGCTCAAAGATCCCTGCATGGGCCCTCAGAGAACATGGACATCAGTGGGACTTTCAGAAGGCCGGTTTGGGCCCTCTGAAAGCTTCGTTAGGGATCAGTGGAGCTCCTTAGCAGCCTTTGTTTAAAGCAAGCTCATGAGCCCTGCGACACTTGTACGGTACTTGAGCCTGTCGCAGACATTTGACGAGAGTTGAGAAAGACCCCGAAGATTTCGTTTCACGCTTTGAACGAAAATCGTGTCAGCACTCCAAAACTTATGAAAATCAGCTGTAAAATGTAATAAAGAACGAACTAGGAACATGGAATGAATCACAGCATTGACATTTCCGAGTCTGGACTCGGAGTCTTGAAGATTTTGGCGACTGCGAGTCAGACTCTGGTTTGAACTGCACGCTCCAACCGAGTCTGACCTCACAGGCATTCTCAGAAAGGTAGGTACCGCCATTTTTTCCCGACTCCAAAATCTCATCGGATCTGTATCGATCTCAGGGGGTGCCCGGTCCGAGGTTGGGGGGGCAAGCTGCCCCGCTTGCCCCCCCGTGGCGACGCTAATGGATGGATGGAAGGAAGTAGGAGACGCTGGCATCTGGTCAGACGGTCAATCGCCAGAAAAGCGAGCGGAGCGTGCGATAGGGAATACATATACCGATGGAAAGTCGATGATTTCATTTTTTCTTAGGTATTTTGCTGAATTTCTAACGACATGTGTTCTAAAGCTGCTAAGTAGGTAGGAAGTTACATTCAGCTTCTTGAATTAGGTAAGACAAGACTGTTCCCAAATCCCTTGAAATCAGAATTGCCGAATACCACGCCAACTAGTCGATAAACGCAGAATTTCCGTAACGCAAGAGTTTGCGACTGCCGATTCAATTATTCTAGTTTGGGTTTGAAATACATAGTGGTGATATTTCCTTTTAAACTAATTAGGAATGCTGAATATACGATATTCTTTAATATGAGACATCAGTTTAGAAAGAAGGCAATTTATCTTAGCTCCTCTGAAATCAAGATTGCCCATGTTGCACAAACACTTCGTTTGTCTTCGGACCTTCTAACGAAAGCCGCACAAATCAGAAGGATGATTTGCAAAAACTCACTCCGGGCGTGATCTGGAGCCAGATAGCCGGGCGAACATTAGTGTAGGCGCCATCGGAAGGCGTCCATTTGTCCGATCGCGTCCGTCCAGATACATTGCCGAGAGGGTGCACCATGACGGATGCGCAATCTGATAAATTGCCCGTCCGATGGCCGGCAATATCGCGCTTTTTCTCTCAATATTTTGGAAATACTTTTCTGTTAGTCAGAGGCAATTTATCAGGTGTCATTCTGTCGCCAGGGGGATACAAAGCATGATAAATGTATGTCAGCGAGAACGTTTCATTAGACGTATCTGCACGGGGCTCACTTGGTAACAGGTCAGCTCGGAGTTGCCAGCCACCGATCCCGTAGTAAAAGCAGCTGCAGACCTAAATCTGCCCTCCTTGCGTCAATTAGGTGATGAAGAGTGAGCTTTGGCTACTGCAAAATGACCAGCTATTATAGCTTTCCGAGTAACCTGATAAGAGAATAAAGCTCTAAAAACCGACATATCTGCTTTATGCTTATACTTTAGCTAAACACAAACCGAAGGTCAGAATGTAACAGATGACACCGTGTCTAAGACTCATCAACCTACCTAGTAATAACCAAGACACTGAGCAACGCATCTGGAGCGATCCACATGGGAACGATGGACGCCTTTTGGCCCGGCGCTGGTCAGCTTCCAGTTTCTGTGACGCTGATGGTGTTGGTTGGAGTTATGGATGACCGCTGGGCGGCCAGGGGGCACCTGCCTGGCGCCGGAGACGGGTCATCCATCGGCCCGACGGTCGTCGACCGGCCAAACGACCGGCAGCCGGGCGCTGCTTGTGTAACGCCATTGGTAGAGGTTCCTAAGGGAACGTTATATGAATATCTTTTGTCAGATACCGGTGATTGGACGTTTTATGAGAGGCGCTAATCTTCACATAGCTGACTTCTGTTTGACTCTGCCGTGGTGTCCATCGTCACTGCCAATCGTCAAACCAAACAGCCGTTGTCTAACAACCGGCATACGGACGACATTTCTGCAACGTAGTCCGGTGCGCGCTAAACAAGTGTTGCGAGGAGCAGGCGCATTAGTGCACCAGTGGTGTCGTATGTACGTCACTAGTGGCTGGAGTTCTCTATATACCGTGGTGGCTGGCACACCACATGCCCACTCACCGGGTATCGGCGGTTTGGCTGGCTGACATGCGGAACTTCATCTCGAGAAAATTGCTGGCACTCAGCTGTTTGTGTCAGCCAACTGACCTATCATTTTCTCTACCACACCTCGCCCCATCCCTTTCTATAAAACCCTTTCCTTCTCTTCGACAGGTGCTGATCACCAAGTTACGCTCGACCAACTCTGCCGAGACGCAGCAGTACAAGAAGGCGACGAAGGCTCTGCTGGTGCTGCTGCCGCTGCTTGGCGTCACCTACATCCTGGTGCTGGCGCCGCCCACCGACTACGGCATGCTGGAGACGGTGTTTGCCTACCTGCAGGCCGTCCTCATCAGCACACAGGTGGGCGCAGGGAGGGCCTCGGCTGTCTGGTGGGCGCAGGGAGGGCCTCGACTGTCTGATGGGCGCAGGAAGGGCCTCGGCCGTCTGGAATGGTGTACGCCTGTCTGTCTGTCTGTCTGTCTGTCTGTCTGTCTGTTTGTTTGTCTGTCTGTCTGTGTGTCTGTCTGTCTGCTTTCTTTCAGTTCAGTATCTTTCTTTCTTTCTCTTTTCTCAACCTCTCTTCCCCTTTCTCTCCCTTCTTCTTCTTCTTCTTCTTCTTCTTCTTCTTCTTCTTCTTCTTCTTCTTCTTCTTCTTCTTTTTCTTCTTCTTCTTCTTCTCCTTCTTCCTCTTCTTCTCTCTCACCCTCTCTCTCTCTCCCTCTCTCTCCCTCTCTCTCTCTGTCGCTGTCTTCTCACCTCGTCTTCATTCCTCTCTTTCTAATAGCGAGATGGCTGATGAACGACCTCTGGCGTCCATTAACCAATGTTTGATGAGGATCCTAAGATAGAGCGGATATTTGCTTGCCTTGCTCTTCCCGAGCAGACACCAGGGCTTTCAGGGATAATACACATTTCGTAAGACAGGGCATCGTCACTTCTTGAACTCATTCAACGCCAATCTCACCGTTAAATTATACGGGAAGGAGGCCTAAATTTATCTGTGTGGACTTCAAACTTCATTACAATGAATATTCATTACACATGTTAGATCTGCGTGATCATTTCGTCATATTTACGTGTCTTTCGGGCTTAAAATGTTTATAAGGTTCATTGAATAAGTGCTTCGTCCGCATGGCAGCCGTTTTCTGGTAATTGTTTTGTAGCTTTAGCACTAAATTTTTGGCGCCCACTAGCAGTAGCGCTCCTGAGACGCTTAACCTCCACTGCACCACTGATGTGACCCACTGTCGTTGTGTCGTCGCCAGGGCCTGGCTGTGGCGCTGATCTACTGTTTCTTCAACTCGGAGGTGCGCGCCTCGCTCCGCACCCACTACCGTCGCTGGAACATGGAGCGCTCGATGGCAGAGTTCTCCGGGATCAGCCACAGGCAAGAGTAGCCCCAGTACGATAATCGCTCCGTGTCGCCGTCCGCTCGTGCCGCCGTAAATTCTCATTGTAGTTAGATTTATTACCGTGTCTGAGGTGGATTACCTGCATGGTTCTTTTGCTTGGTCGGCATATTACGTTTGGTCTGGTTTTTGGAGAAGCCATCTAAACAGAGTGGAATTGCAGTACAACCATGTGTTTAGTTTCGGTGGTGATCAATGTCATAGTGTCAAGGGTCGACCGTCAATGTCATGGGAAGAAAAGGAAGCTATGTGTTTTCTTGTGTTCATGTCAATCCTCCTTCCCTCCATTTTTCTTTCTTTTTTCTCTCTCTCTCTCTCTCTCTCTCTCTCTCTCTCTCTCTCTCTCTCTCTCTCTCTCTCTCTCTCTCTCTCTCTCTCTCTCTCTCTCTCTCTCTCTCTCTCTGTCTCTCTCTGTCTGTCTCTCTCTCTCTCTCTCTCTCTCTCTCTCTCTCTCTCTCTCTCTCTCTCTCTCTCTCTCTCTCTCTCTCTCCTCTCTCTCTCCCTCTTTCTCCCACCTCTCTTCATCCTCTCGTCTCTTCCTCTCGCTTTCTGGACTCTATTTTCATTTGAGGACTACCTTTCCGTCGCCATTCATCCTCTGATCTACTCTCCCGATGAGTGTCCGTCGAGTTTCGACTGACCTCCCGTCCGCTCCGCCCCGCTCCCCACAGGGGGTTTCCGTCCAGCCGGCGCCGCAGCTCGGCGACAGAGATGACGTATACGGTGACGGAGGCGGGGGCACAGGGCTGCGGCCGACTGCGCCGGGCCAGCGGCAACAGCCAGGCCGGCCGCGAGCAGCTGGCCACCGTCTGAGCTGGCGGCGGAGGTGGCGGCAGAGACACCGGCGGAACTGCCGGTTTGACACTGTCCAAACGATCAGCTGGTCACTTTACAAACCAACAACTGTTCATACACTGAGCGACCAGTAAACTACTCTCTGAATGTCTGTCTACCGACTGAGGGACCAGCTGATCATCGTCCCCAGAACCAGCAGGCCACTCGTCATTCAGTCAAGCCTGCCTCAAGCCATGGCTAGTGGTGTGAGGATATTTCGGGTCTTCGCTGCTGCCGTTGACACGGGAAATACCCAAAGTCACAGCGGTATTGGCGACTGCCAGCGAATAGTTGACCGTTGCTGGGACTGCGCCTCCTGAATGCTGACGAACAAACTCATACAAAATGAGGGCATGACATTTTGCCTGATGACACCGCTGATACGTATGTATGAGATTGAGCTGACTCGTAAATGTCAGCAATGGATCGAATTTTTAATTACGAGGACCTTTGACGAGGGCAATGTCAAATACCAAGGCGCTAGTCATTTTTAGTCATCTCTGTATAGGTGTGTGCGTACGTGCACGTATGTCTTGCTTATATATTTTTTATATTGTTCGCCGATCTCCGCCCTTTTCTGGTGACTTCACAGTTTAAGACTGAGTTGTAATGTGTATGTGCTGTGGGCTGGCAGATTGCGTTATAGATCGTAATACTGTGAAGTTTCATGTATTCTGCGTTAGGTCCGGGGATCCATCTCTACTGGATCCACTCGCACTTTCATGTCATCAGTGGACCCACTAGGCGACACCAGCAGTTTCTCAGTGTGACAGACTCATTGGGCCGGTCCCGGGGCCGGCTGCTGGTCAAACCGTCCTCTCTAATCTCTCCTCCCCGTACCTCTACCCATCGGGGCAACTGCCCCGTGGCAGTGTGACGCCCCTGGCAATTACAGGGCGATTTCCCTCCTACTCTACACAGAAGTGTGCTTTTTTGCCGCTCCGTCTCGCCCTGCCTGTGCCAGTTGGATCGTTGTAGCCGCTTTCATCGTAAGTCGATTCATTTATCGGTGTCGTTTTATGACAGCTATGCTTATTACTGTGGTGTGATGTGTTGTGCTGAACCGTCCAGTCCTAGTCATCAGTTTCACAGAAGATTAACGTCATCATGCATCTTGCATAAACGACTGTGAACCATAAACTTTGGATGGTCTTAGGGCTAATCCGTCTTGGCTAGACTCTTTTTGCCTCTAGCGTATGGTAAATGTCATGTACTACCCTTCGTGGTGATAAATTGCTTGAAACTAAACGGTCCTAGGTCATAAGTCGAGTTAGAACAGCAGTGTACATCGACAGTACGTAAAAGCTAGCATTTATTTATCCTACGTTGATTTTGATTTCCTGCGGTGTTACGGACCAAACCTCTAGTGATGACAGGTGTTTTAGGGTGTTTTGTCAAACAGTGCGTGAGTGTGATTGATGTTTCCCGTCGCACCTGTGGGCACGTGAGACGCTTTTAATTGGAGTTGTAGCGGTGCACTATTGGCTTACCGTGGCGTGGCCCAGCTGTTTAATGTGATACGTTCAGTTTCTGCCGTCCGTCAGACGGCTCCTGGGAAGACTTCGATGAGGGTTCAATGTTTAAATGTGCGGAGACTTGTTGCGATACGCTTGAGAATGTAACTATATTTGCCTGTTAATATTGGCGGGTGTGTGTGCGGGTATGCCGTAGCAGCTTTAGAGCAATGCCCGGCGGTCTAACGGTTCCATGCTGTGCCGTACGAAGAAGGAGGAGCTGCTGGGTAATTTTGAGGTATGTAGGACCCTCTACCGTGACTGCTATATCTGACCTGAAGAGTGTGTCACTATGTGCTGATGGCTGCTTACGAGTTATGTTCGTGATCGCTGTTCTTGGGTGACTGACGCTGTGTTATGTGCTGGCTTTACACGATGTCACTGCTGTAGATTAGCCGGACGAGCTATATGCTGCGCTGTGGAAAAGTTTCAGTCGTGCGAGTAACAAACGCGCTGCGAATTAGATCGGTGTGCCGTTAGGTGCCGGGCTTGGAAGAAGCAACAACCCCGGACAGCTAGCGGTACACCTTGGGGAACGCTCCGGTCGCTACATTGTCAAAAACCTTAACATCAGTAGAATATTGAGTGCAGAAATGGTGAACATTTGGAGCACCGATTGAGGAATAGGCATTTCCCTTGTCAAACTTCATGTTTGTTCATTCATGTTTCTCCGAAACACCGGGAAAAGCCAGCATAAGGTGAAGCTCTTAATAAGTATCAGGCTATTTCAATGTTCCCTCTTAACGCGTTGTTGTGGAGTAGGAAAACTTGCACTGACATTGGCTTAGAGTTTTTTTTCTTAGACAGGAGCGTTCCCTCTAATTCGAGTCGTTTGAAGAAAATCGTTGATGTCTCGGCGTTGCCCGATTCCCGTGAATATACTATTTTAGTTGGAACTGACTTTCTATGAATTATGTCAGAAGCAGTATCGCACGTCGATGTCCGTACTTATGAAGTCAGACATATCAGGGACGTCTTTTTTTCACGACTACAGCGGTTTTACACAAGGTCGCCAGCATCATAGCCCCAGTTTGCATCCCATCCCCACTGCACGCCACCGTTTGAACACGACCCCACGTGCAGCACCTATTCCGCCGCGCCTCGGCCGCCGGTCTAGCAACAGAAGCCCAAGGTCAGACGGTCACGTGACCTGCCGGTGGCCGGCCAATCACAGCGCTCGCTCGGGCGGCCAGACAGAGCCTCGGGCTACACAGTACGCCGGGAACACAGTGAACGGTCTGACCAAGGTCGGTGGCTGTAATCTCGACTTTACTATACATGAGCAATACACACACAATATGGCTTTAAAAAAGGAACACATAAAACTACCGGAAAGGACGCCGTATTATAAACGTTATAAGGTGGTCTTAACGGAATACAAACACAGCAAGTGCATTATTAGGCTGGTGTATTTAATAAAGTCAGAACAAAGTATTCATGTTATGACTAGGATCCACCCTATTTGTACAGTATGAACTGACAGATGCTTGAAAATGCCCGTCAGTCAGCAATTCATCTAAAGCAGATAAAGCAAGCGCCATATACTGCTCACACATACCCGACCCAGTTACACAATTGATGCAAAAGCACACTTCATTCAATTGTATATCCGTAAACACAGTAGGGAGTTTGCGAGCAAACGCGGCTCGAGAGCAAAGAGCTAAGGGGCAGCTTATGAGTGGCTATTAAAGGGACCCTCCCGCCTTCAAAAAAGTTAATGAATTGGCATGAAAGTGATGTCGCTCGGTTCAGAAAGAGCAAAAACGAATATCTACCAAATTTCATCGAAAAATATTCACCGGTTTTCAAGATATTAGACTCTTACTTTTGTTTACTTTTTGGGATCTCCGCTGTTCCTATAGCGACTTTATTTGAAAGTGCGGCATTTGTTGCGCGCAAAGCAGCGTATACCACCGCGTGTTACAAAACGTTTTAGTCAAACATTTAAAAATCGTTAGATATCTGCGCTGACGTCACACATTCAGAGGGGTATTCCTTTGCATTAGCCCCTCTGAATCAAAATGCTGCAATTTTGAAGTTCAATATTTTCGAGTTAAGGCATTTCTCGATGTTGTGAGTGCCGAAACCGGTAATTGTGAGCCAGGGACCCCATTTTGGCTATCTCAACTCAAATCTAATGTTCAGGTGGGAGGGTCCCTTTAAGTGTGTGCGTATTACTGCTTGTGTTACCAGAGCAGCTTGAATTACCTACTTTACGCAAAGAATGAAATACAAAATTTAACTAAAACCGTCATTGTAGACACTAGACAGTAAGTACAGCCCACCGCTAAAGTAATGTAGGGTTTTACCAATCTCAACGGTTGGCTTTGACTGGCGATTGTTTAATGCAGAGTGATCGAAAAGAAGATGTCAATAGCTAAAGTTGCAGCTGCAACTGGTGACGATACATATAAGCTACATTCAAAGTTTCATTGTAGTCTGGCTAATCGTTCCTAAGCTTCAGAAGCAGAACATACCCATGACTGAAACCACACATTACTTCTGCTGTGGACTGTACATTGCACCCGGCAGCCCTCTGTCATAAAATCGTTCTGCAGTTATGCGCACGTCATCCATCTTACCCTTCTCATTCCTTTCAGACGCCATTGGTAGAGCTAACACTTTACTCTTGTTATAGCTGCGCACTCCATCGGAGCACACATCTTAAGCAAGCTTAGTTATACATCAGGCGATCGGCGCACGAGTGTTTGTGTAGCCACGCGGCTCGACTGCGCGTCACCACTTGGCTCCTATCGTCCGAAAATGGTGTGTCTCGCTCCGCACACACCCTTCCAGCTATCACAATTTCTGGCGATATTATGCAGCATCAAGTGGACCTGACGATGGACGTGTTACTGAGCTGCCACGCCCTGCACCTACTTGAGCTAATTGAAAGTATGGATCGTTAGGAAAGAGTGGGCAGCCTTTTACACATAAAAACTGCAGCAAAACATGCGTTATCTATCCCCCCGTGGAGTCACTACAAACCGAGCTTGACGTATACTCTTAGCGACAACTATGAGCAGCTATACCTGTAGCAAGGTAGGAATTCTCCGCAACCCGACTGTACAGTGTGTACTGTGTACATACAGTGTGCCGTGTCGGCTGAACAAGGCGACTCACCAACGAGAACACGGGTCAGGTCAGTGACACGGCTCGAGACAATGGCCCGATATTTACCGACCACACGAGAGCAATATAGTTGCACAGCAACAAGCACAGCATCAAATGACTACATAAAGGCGAAGGGCACGATCAATATGACTAAGAATAGAACCAGTGACAGACAAAAGAAAGCTAGAAAAGCACAATCCTATCTAACCCAGAGTTCATGTATTGGAGATTTCAGACTCATTTGTAAGCGAAAATTTGATGCCGTAGGTATTCTGGTTTTATGGTATCAAAGTTACTTATTAGGTCTTACTAACGCATGTATACTATGTACACTTTGCTCAACACAAGTCAGCTGCCCGTCCTTCCTGTAAGTCATGCATACATACATAGATACATACATAAGTGAACTCGACAGACGGGCAGCAGCACATCTTCTGGCTGTTTACGCAAATAATACAAGTAGAATTGCACGAGAATTCGTCAGTAAGATACCATTTATACCCGTCATATCACACGAATACCTACCCATTACCCATTTTCACTTGCATTATCAGTTTGCACTGCATTCAATGTTCAAAGGACGTGAGGTCTTATTTGCTTTCCGTGCCGTTATAACCGAGTCTCCCTCCACAAGAAGGTCTCTCACATTGCCACACTTCTCGCCATCCACACCGTAAGACCTCCGCCGGAGCTATACGGCGTCGCTGTCCATCGCTGTCGTATAGGTGAGGTCCGTCGCCGAGGTATCGCCGGCTGCTTTCAAACGGCTGCACGAACGAAAACAGAACATCAGAAACACATAACAAGGGAGCATTGCACACAAAATCACCAGCGCCTTCGCGGTATTATCGCTCTTCGGTCAGCTCCGGCGCCCGCCGCGCTAGCTCGCATAGCCTATGTTTTGCCAATAGATGTCACTAGTGTCGACGCCGTGAGGTAGACTGCACCGCAGCGCAGTCGCGCCGTGAGTTAGGCTGTGCCGCGAGACAGACAGTGGGCACAGCGCTATTGGCAGGCTGTTGAAGAAAGTGGCGTAACTAATTAATAAGGCTTGCTCCAGGCTTATTGGTAATATTTACGGTGAGCCACATTGCATGTTGAGCATGGTTTGACTGCACGTCTTTAATCGCATCCAATGAAATATGGACATCGTAATCTACCACGCACACTATTGGCATCATTGGTTCATGGAGCGAATGAAATATTACTGCTCAAGTATGGCTCATTTGAGTTCGAAGCACGTATTCATCATTCAGTTCATATCAATGACGTATGCGTGATCACCTAATCAACCCCTAAATCACTACATAGAGAGCGTCTCTATTGAGCGCTTCTATAGAGCGCGGATCCCGTGTATCGGCATGCCATCTGAAAGCTGGAACGATGAGTGCGCTTACAAAAATTATTGCCTTTTGAAATGCAAGAAAGTTGGAGGACCTATAGGTTTAAGGCTTCTATCGGTGGTAGCATTTGTTTACTCCTAATGTGACGATTGAGCGGCTCATTTTACCCGACCGGCGCGCCGTTTACCTGGTGAGTGTTCCCGGTCTGGTACGCTGCATGTCGGCTGGACGCAGGTAGGTTCTACCTCGCCAGCGGTACCAGTGCTTCTTGAGCGTGGACTGCACCTCCGTATTGCAGAAGCAGTACAGCAGTGACACGATCAGACCCTGAAACGTCACCAAATCAGCAGAATATAACCTGACGTTATATTCAATAAGGCAGTCGAACAATGATGAAACGGATAAGCCATGAAAATTCATAGGCCATACCAGAAGGTACCACATGAGACAAATACCATAATAGTTATCTGATGAAGTATGGACAATACATTTGTTAAACGGTGAACTATATATGTGATGGATCAATATTCTACGGTCATTTAATCGATAGAGGGCTAAAAGTTGAAGAAGAAAAATATGACGCATCAGTTTCCCAAACTGACTGCCGATTTTGTCGGCGTTACCTGTACGGAGACCAGCACCGTCTGGATGTAGTAAATGACGTGTTTGGTGCTCGGTGCCACCAGCACCAGGATGTAGGTAACGCCCAGCAGCGGCAGTAGCACCAGCAGAGCCTTGGTCGCCTTCTTGTACTGCTGCGCCTCCGAGGAATTAGTGGAGCGTAACTTGGTGATCAGAACCTGTCAGAAGACACGTCGCAGTACATTCGCTGTTCTAAGAAACGGTATGCATTCGTTGTTCAGTTATTTGTTACTTTTTGGTTGCTGTAAAGAATAAATATATTCAATATCTTTATTTATTATTTTAGTTATCATGCAGCAAATTTGTGCATAGGCAGGTCCCTGTCGATACCAGTATTCAAAAACGTTCGCCGTGACAACTCTTGTCATATAAGGATGCTTTTGTCGTTGTCTGGTCACACTTACACACATTATCTTGACGAGGAAGACGACATTGCAGGCGAGCACCATCAGGGAGGGCGCGATGTGAATCCAGTCCCACTCACTATCCTCTAGCCACGGACACTGTGACAGGAACGCCTGGTCCAGCGGCGGCTCCAGACCGCGCACAAACGAGTAGTTCCCCTCGGCAGACACGCACAGGTTGTGCTGAAAACGGGCCGGCATTAACCAATGTATTTACTGCAAGGTATAGGAGGTGTATTTGGTAAATTATATACCTAAGCGGAAAAACAAGTTAGTATTGAAGGCACATGAAATTATTTCCCAAGAGACCTGTGTCCTCTGAGAAACCGTTTTTGATGGATTGTATGGAGCGAGGGGCACGTTCTCGTACGCCAGTAAACAAAAAAGTAGACACGTAAGATTCTTCTGAAAAAGTCTGATATAAATCTCTGATAAAGCTTTCTTAAAGCGCGCACCCACCAGCGAGAGATAGCCTTCCTCTGACACCTGTTCTCCGGACGTGTAGGACTTTACGACGCTCCAAGTGGCCACCACCAGAAAAGGCGCTCCTGTGAAACACACACAGATCAGCGATTGTACCTCCTGAACAAAAAGGTACATATTTAGTGTTCGTCACAGTCATCAGCTCAGGTAAAGAAACTCAAATAACTATGTCGATTGAATCGCATACAACAAAGCGCCTTATCACTCAACAGAAATCCAAACCAATTGCGTAAGTTGCTGTGTTTTATAGATGTTAGTACTTCATACATAGACAAACGTCCTTTTTATAACCGTTCATGCATTGTCTAATAGACGGATATTGGGACGAAAAACTCGAAACATACTTACCCCATCCGATTAGTGGATAGAGGTAGGCTCTTACTCTATCCACCATGAAGGTCTGTACCACCATCATGTACAGATTGAGGCCTGAAAAGATTGACATTAGTTGGAATCTCAGACATACATTGGCATACGTACTTATGCACGTTTTTTCAGAAATAAGCAGCTCACAAATAAGCTGTTAGCATAAAATGTATCGAAAGTAGGTACGAGTATATGTTTAAGGATCATCCATGCCCACTTGATCAGGTAATATTGCTTTGTCAAGCGTATGTAACGTATCGCTGGTATCGTGTTCTTGGTTGCGTTGTGTTGTCTCACCTTCCACAAACATCCAGAAGAAAGTGGCCACGTGAAAGAAGTGCAGCAGGATGACGAGACCGCACGAGGTCGGCGTCGTGCCTGCCATTGCCATCTGAGGGACATTGCAGTGACCATGTTCAACAGCTCGGGGCTGACAAGATAACCGACTTCACCTGACGCAGACACTGTCACCCAGACACTGCAGCGCAGGACGGGAAAGGAACCGCCGAACACCGCACAACGGAGAACAGCCAATATCCCTTCACACCAGGAGACATTGACGAATGGCGGGGATTGTCGGAGCTGAGAGGCCGCTGACCATCCCCCCCCCCCCCACCCGGTCCCCCGCAGCACAGGCGGACGGAGACGTATGGAGCCACGGGTGAGGTCACCAGCTGAGATTAGTGGCGTCCCACCAAACCGATACAAATTGCCTCCCAGCCAGTGACCGGCGCTCGCGCCTGATCCGGGATCAAGGAACGCGGCGACAGCTTCGCCGCACCCGGACACAAGACATTATTGTCGGCATTACATGTGCATCATTGCATTAAAATGATTGTCTTAGACCTATATATGGGTCATAAGACACCAGAGAAAACCCATGTTTCATTCATTTGCGCGCATTTTATTTTCTATTTGACAGTCACCTGGGTGTCATGTTTTTTTGTGGGTGATATCTTTCACCGATTGCCGATCCGCTGGGAGCTCCCGGCATGTGTCAGACTGTAAATGTTAAGTGACTTTGAGCCACTGGACCTTACATATCTATTGACCCGATATGATATGTTCAGCGAGTAAAAAACAAATACAAATTGGCCGTTTTCACGACGGAACTTTCGCAGAGGAACTTATTTAATACCTAAAAAGTACCTACCCTTTGAGGCCTTAACATCCCTCAAACTGAAATATTTTATGTTCAAAATAATTTTAGAAGTTTAAATCCGGGCATTTTTTGCCCTCAAATCACTTATTTATTTACAAACACAGCAATTTTTGGTTCTAGTAGCCCACCTTTCGACTATGAGGTATCAAATCAGCGTGGCAACTTTACTCCCTCGGGTATCTAATTCCGGAATTCTTAAAAACAAGGAAAGTATATATCGAGCTTTCTTTTATGCCTATTGAGTTATGTTTTAATGGTGATTAAAATATGGCAAATTTTTTAATTACATTTCACATAAGAAAAACACGCAAAACAATGAAACAAAAATAACTACGGTGGAAATAACCAATCAGCACCTCAGTAGGATATGACGTCATACAAGAATGGTGTTGAAGGCCGTTTGCAGTCCCGGCCGGTAGGTCACGTGACCGCCGGGAGCCTCGGGTCACGCGGCGGTCGGGAGTCGGACGCGGGACGTGGTCGCGGGTGGACGCGCGGGGCATCATGCTTTGCTTTGCTTGCTTTGTCAACTTAATATAACTTACGATCGCATACGTGTGAAACCTAAACACTGCTCAGTGCCCTTAGAAATTGAGTTTTGGAAAGCTCAAGTCCCTATAGCTCCTCAGGTCGGCAACAGTTGAAGCCTCATCTGGACTAGTGAAAAAAGCGAGGGTAAGGAACCTTGTGTTGCTTTTTCTTTTACCGTTATAATTATCTCAAACCATCACAATTTTGAGTTGCCACATTGTCTGGTTCACTACATTCGTGTAAAACTTGGTGAAGGCTGGTGGCTCAAAGAAAGGTGAAGATATTTCTTTAAGTGCCTAATCCGTGAAATATCCCGGCTTTACAAATCTACACTTTTCATTTTTTCCACGATACATTTTTTAAAATTGTTAAAATTTATTCAACATTTGTTAAAAAGGGCTTTGGTTTGGTGTAAACTAGATCATAAAGTTTACTATAGTTTTGTGCAAAACCTGGTGGCTGAAGAAAATAGTAATTTTGCTAAAATGATGTGCGGAAATTTGTTGCTTTCCAATTTCCAAATCAAATTACTCATACCTATATTTCATTCAAAATTAGGAGGCATTATTACTGTTTTTTCTTGCAACATGAACTGAGTTTGGGTGCAGTGCTCCGGAAACGTTGTGGAACTTTAAGCTAGCTAGAGCAGTTTCCATAAAAATTGTTTAGATAGTTGACATGGCATGTTGAAAACGGTTTTGCTGTTTCTAAAAAAGTGAAAAATATTTTCCTGCATTAAACAGACAAGGCATGTTACTCTCATAAGCTATCGAATGTGTGTGCGTGTGTGTGTTTTTTTAAGCTGTCAATTGTAACTTCAGTTACTTCACTTTAGAACATATTGCCCAGAATGCGTCACTGATCATGAGCTGGTATATCATATCATATGTAGCAAATACATAAATGGGAATAGTGTGTCATGAATTTTTGTGCATGCTTCTGGATCATCTGTAATTACATCAAAGGCTCGGCTCAAGAGTGTCCTGCCGACCAGCTTATGCCCAACCCTTTCTGTCCGCAGAACGTCTTCCGTCGCCTGCGACTCCCGCACGCCGTTTGCGCCCCGGCCGTCCGTACCGGTCTTCGCGCTGCGAGCCGCGCTGCTGGAGTTCGCGGCGGCGTCGTGGAGCTCCCATCGGGACAACGTGTGATGCCCGCGTCGAGCTTATAAGCCGTGAGCTTCGATTGGCGGCTCACGCGGTCACCAGCTGTATGTACAGCCTCGGCCCCGACGACCCCGCTAATGGCCGAGACCGGCATACCCCCTGCATGGGTCCGCTGTCCGGCGCAGCGCTGGCCGCCCGCATGTTACGTTTGGCTGTATCGCTGCCCAGCGGGAGCGCGCTCCACGCTGCGGTAGAGGCACACGTTGCGACCCGACTGAGGACCGCAACCGGATGGTGAGACGTCGGCCTCTGCGCCCTGGCCGGGGTAGGCGTGACCGACGTCACAGTGGAGGAACACCCAAACAAGACCAGCCCACCGTCGGAGCAGCATGGAAATATCATGTTCTGCCTGGACGTCGGACCCGGCGGCCGCAGAGCACCTGCACACGTGCGGAGAGGGGCGCTGGAGGCGCGGCTTCTGACATCCCGCGGCGCGGCTGCTGGCAATACCTGACAACGGCGGCAATGGAGGCGGTTGGGAACAGCTGCAGCAATGGTGATGGCGGTGATGGCGACATGGCGGTTTGGGACTTCATCTCAGCGCGGCCGCCGCCCAGGCGCCGCTGCGCCCGGCTGCTCAGCCACCTACCGGATGGCGGGGTGGCCCTTACGGCCCTCACGCCCGTTCGGTCTGCGGCCACGTTCTGGGGTGGCCGTCGCGGGGTTAGCGGCGTTGGACTTCGTCCTTTATCCAGACTGCACCGTACCATCTGAACGGATGGATCTGCCAAGAAAGATGACATCCAAGGCGGCTATGAGGCGATCACAAAGCTTCAGCAAGAGCTTCTCCTTCATGGGGCCGGCCGGCCGTTAAGTCGCAACACCGGCTGCCGAGTGCCAACAGCTGCGTGCGCTGGCGCCGACGCGTTGTGGGCCGCGCTGCTGACGCTCAAGCTGCGATATCAACCATCTATGAATAAGTGGCAGCGGTGGCGGCTTGTCAGTTGTTAACGTGCCTTTGCAGACGTTGTGAATAGCCCGCGTTGGAATCGCATGGTTGGCAACACCACGCAAGCTAAAATGGGCTTCCTTGATGAACCTACTTTTTAAGCATTGTAGCCTTTGTAATTTTTGATGTTTTGCTGTAGGTATTATTTTCTACATATATACTATATAGGCACTCACGTGCTTTGAATCGCGCAATGCAATTGAACCATGGTAAAGACAATGATAAATGAACTGAGAGCTGACATGCCCCATGCTTTGTGTGTGTGTGTGTGTGTTTTTTTTTTTTTTTTTTTTGGCGAGTCGATAAAAGTGGTTTTGGACACTGGATGAGTTTTTAGGGGTGTGGTGAGGGGGAATGTAATTCCACAGACCTTTTGTCAGATTCACCAATGCAGTAGGTCTGTGCGGTATTTAGATATCGGAGCATTCTTTGAAAGTCGTGAATAGGGCAACTGAGAAGCTACCTATAGCCGTGATATCCCCTCACAAAAACTTCTTTTAAATAACCGGGGATAAGTACATAAGCAGAGTAATTGCTATTACGAACACCTAGGTATCACAATGCTGAGCGAATAGGAAAATCTATAGATGGAGAATTGTGCCGCGTTACGGGTGCTCGGGCGCAGCCAATCCAGCGTTACCCCAGCGGTGACCTTGACCCGCATCGTCTGTCTCGGCTCCAAAGCCAAACCGGCGTGGAATTGGGAGCGCTCGAGCACTCATGGTCCAGCGCAATTCTCCACCTGAATCCATTCCTGATACACATTTGCTTGCTCATAGTCATGTAACCCCGGTAAATTCATCTAACTTTCATATTGGTCGCTCCATAGACAGATGGCCACAGATATCAACTTAAAAGGCCATTGTTGCATTCATTTAGTGGAGATCATTAAAGAGCCGTGATAGGCCACAAGTCGCGTGACATCATACGTGTAACAACCAATGACGTCGGCCTGCAAAACCCAATGGAAGCGGCTAGCAGCGTGCAATAAAACAGGGCGCTGCTTTCTAAATGTCTGTCGTGCGCCATAAATGAATATATCTTTTGTAGTGTGGCAACTCAGTATCTTTTTTTAACTATTGTACTAGTATTTAATAATTTCATAATTTTATAATTGTGCTTACGCTTTATGTTGATGTTAGTGATAAATCCTTAGATAAAGTAAATCGATGTGATATTTAATAGAAAAATAGCGAACTAACGCGCCATTCATTCGAAAGCTGGTAAACCTACTAAAAAGAACTACTAAAATTCCTGAGGAACCAAAGGATTATATTGGTATCAAATAGATGCCTGCTATTCCGTCGTGAAAACGGCCATTGTAAAACTGTTGGCAAGACATCGATTTTTTTAGTCTTCCAAACTTCGAAACGGTTCCATGGCGATATTTAAACATCATTTTTATTTCAGGGCGATATTTACATGGTTTCATGTAGGTGTTTTCTCTTTCTGGTTCTATAACATGGGGTGCCAAAACGACCCTGATTCCTGCCTCTGGTCCTGCCAACATGGCAGACGACGAGCCGGCATCTTCCTAACTTTCACATAAAAATTTGTCTAATTAGAAGGCCCGCATTCACAAATCCTTTCGGCAAGTTTTATCCTTAGGCTTTATCTGGCCGTTCTATGAAAGCTTGGACCCGGGACAAACGAGCAGCGCTGTTAACTTCGTCTGATGAGACGAGAACGATTTACAAAATTAGTGCCTCGGCTTGGGTCCATAGCAAAGTGCTGAGCCTGTCGGGATTGAGAGACCAGCACTTCTGCAGCCCAATCCTTCTTGCTGAGCCGTTCATCATGCATCTTATCTGTTTGGTTCAGCTCTCATGTCTTTCTTGTTTCAACTTCTAAACTCACTGAACCTCACAGCACACTTGGGGTCGTTCCTTACCTCAATGGTCATGACGGTGATCCACAGTGCGTCATTGACCATGCACGCCACGAACAGATTCGTGTGGATGGTATTTCTTGGACAACGTAACTCCCTGTGGTAAAACAAACCCACACATATGTAAATGATATTACCCGGGAAACATGGACCAATATGTTAATCAAGTGTCACGCGAAAATATATATGTTTGCTTTTAAGTGCGCAGCGGGTGCGGCGGGTGCGCCCTCCCTATACTTCACTGTGGAATTTAAAGGCATTTACGCCAGTCCTCCCGTGGGTCGTTCCAGTTGTTTGCTTCAGTAAGTGGTAACCGTGAAAGAGAATATGAGTGAGTTTAACTCAGACAGCTAGCTTAGAAGAACTGGGTAAAAATCAGCCAAAACGGAATCTCTCGACGGGCTTGACAAATTTCTAGACACTATAGTAAATATCAGACAAATGACAAATGCTAGATTAATGTATAGAAAATATTTTGGTTAAGTTTTGAGCTTACTTGAAGTGTCTGAAGATGGCGACGGCGGCCACAAGGGCCACCAGGCTAGCCGAGTAGCCCGTCAGGTAGATGGCAGAAGCGGCCTCAACACTGGCGCTGGACGGCGGTGGGGGGCCGGGGGTGCACGGGTGGGCCTGCAGCAGCAGCGGGCGGCAGGCAGAGTAGTCGGCGGATGGCGCCCACACGCCGTCCGACAGACACGTCCTGCTCGCCCGTCCTGCGGCACGGAACGGGGGCCGGTGACACGACGCTCTGAGACACTTCTTAAACGGTGGCCTGACTGAAATTTGCATGATTTGGCCCGTACTTATGTGCTCTATATAAGTGGCATTTGACGGAACGTTTTTTCTTTAATGAATTTCGAAGGGCATGTGACAAAACTCGAATAAATCTGAAAGTAGCATCTTTGATCTGTTTCGCAATTGTGTCTAAACGATTATCTTCTTTTGTATTCTCAAATTGTCATGGATGCTCCAACGATCCGCATTCCGTCGTCTCTGCCCCGTTCTAAGCAGACATTTAGCTCACTCCACATGCCACAAGAAGAAGCCGCAGACAGTTCTCGGTCAGTTCCGATCAGGGCTGCAAATTTTATGACCTAGTTGGCTTCGCAATCAGCCACCCGATCGAAGTTTCAGCATTGAGGCCGTGCGGCGTCACCGAGACCGCAAAACTTATTCGGAAAGTTTGCCGAAACCAATGGCGTTACAGCGAGCAAACAATGAACTTTTCTGTTCGCCTCTGAAAATAACTCCGTGGATGGAGAAAGACAACTTCAAAACAAGATGGTACGGCATAGACAAATTATGATTTAAAAAATCATTACAACTATGCCATTGGGCTAGTTAAAAACCGTAATTTATTTTGGCAAAGAACGCATTACACTAGCTTTAACACGCCGCTATCAGGTGCCCGTACATAATTTAGAAACCGAACTAAAGAGGCGTTCAAAAATTCATGCTCTCCATAGAGAGGGGCCGGCGTCCAGCAGCGCAGAGGCGCAGGGATGACGTCTCGACTGCCAGTCACTACACATCAATCACCCCTCTCCGTGTCTCGGGTCCATTAGCCACCCTGACTGATCCCCTCTCTTACACGACACCCTCACTGACCGCTCCGCTCTCCCGGCGGCACTCTCTCTCTCTCTCTGATAAAACGGCACCGCTCGACACCCCTGTAATCCGATATACCTCCGCGCCGCGCTGGTGGCAGAGACACCGGATACGGGCGGCGGCCCGCCACCCGCCGGCGTGCACGGCACGGATTACCTCCCGGCCAGCCGCGCCGGCCGCCGACCGCTGAATTATTCAGCCGGGAGTGGACCGGCGACAGAGGACCGACATGGACCTGATCCCGCCGCCGCTGGACCGACCATAAGTCTGATGGATGGTCCCGGTGACGGACAGCTCGCCGCGTGTTTACAGCGGACGGCCGCATCAGTGCGCACCATCAGACCTCAGCACACATCTCACTGACACGGGGACATCCATCACACGTCTCTGCAGCGACCGCGAGACGCTTATTTGACCGGGACCATCTGTAACCGGGCGATGTGCTACTGAACCGCACTGCGGCGCTGCGAGCCAGCCCTGCCGGTTAACGCATAAATCGGCGGCCTAGGGCACGTCTCGGGCTGACGCCGTACATCTCTGTCTGTCAGCGCCGGCGCTGCACCTGCCACGCGCGTCTCCGTCCGCCGGGCACCACTCACCGCTCGTGTCGTAGAGCACGCCGCGGAACTCTGAGAAGCAGGCCACGCTGCGGTTGGCGCCGGCGCCGGTGGGTGGCCAGCAGAGCGCGCCGTCCCAGGTCCTGGGGCACCCTCCGGAGCCGAGCGACCCCTCCCCGGCGGCTCCGGCGGCCACCTGCTGCTCCCGCGACCACTCGGAGCTCCGGCGGCTCCGGGAGGACCCGTCCTCCGAGTCCTCACACAGCCGCTGCCGCTCACTGGTGCTCAGAATCTGACCGCGGGAGGACCCTGACGGTGACTGAGCGGCGGCGAGAGGCGCCAGCTGAGGAACCAGCAGACAGACCAGCAGCAGCGGCAGAGGCAGCGACCGGGAGTCCCTCCGGGTGAGAGCCATCCCTCACGGCTCTCCGAACACGAGACCACCTGGCGGCACAGAAAAACATGAAGAGCGGCGTTAGAGGTGGCACGAAACGGCATGGGCCTGTGTCAGCTGCGGCACGCAGCTAACTGTCAGGCGCAACACCAAAGTCACAGACCGGTTCAACACTCACTCTCCTTGCAGAGACCGAGACCAAACCGCAGTAAGTAGATTCTCAGCCGTCCTATCAGACAGTCTATGGATCACTCTGACAGTTACAATGTTCGTTTTATGGTGTTAGCCAAGACAGAAATGCTATTACATGAAAGTAAAGGACAGGGAATTATCGATTACGTAACAAAGTCCATTGAAGGAAGATCTCATCCTTAGCCCATCCATCATTGTATGTACTTAACTAATGTTTTTTATACTTCATACGCCATGTATAAGGTATTCAATTTCTACCATTAAGGCTGCATGCGCCGAGTGGAGATGTTGCGATGAAAGGTGCCGATAGTAGCGATGTTGTGATGATCGGGCAGTAGCCGCCCCTCGGAGGGCTCCATAGCGGCTCCCGTCATCCCGTGGTTAGCTCCCGGTGGCTCCCGTGGTTAGCTCCATGCGGCTGCCTTTGACCGTCAGTGTGGCGATGATGAGTCTGACGTCGCCACGGGACTGGAAGATGTCCCAGCGGCTGATGAGCCGACTATTTGGACAGGGTCAGAGCGTGCGGTGACGTACCCGCGTCAATCGCTCAGCGGGGCGCACAGACGGCGCTGGTAACATCGCGCTGTGCCGCGGGGTTCTTGGTGCTTACCGCCGGATAGATGAGGCCGAGGGTAACATGATTTTAGAGCGTCAGTCCTCAAAAACTGCGTTGTACACTCGGGGGCAGATTGATGTTCCACTACTCCCTACTCATCGGGCTCTCATGGCTCAGCACTGGCTGCTGCCAGTGGCAGCATTGGCAGCACTGGCACTGGCAGGCAGTGCTGAGCAGTGCTGCCGGCAGGCGACACTGGCAGCAACCAGGGTGCTGAGCCATGGGAGCCCGATGGGTAGGGAGTGGTGGAACATCAATCTGCCCCCGAGTGTACCTATTTTCCATAACGTTTCGATGTCGTATTAACAAAACGGAGCATTAGATCATCTAAAAATTTCATCCGTGAGTAGAGCCGTCAAGAAGGTGAGTCAATAGAAAGCCAGTCTAGCCGCCCGTTTCGAGCCCACAATGGATCGGACTGCGGTACTAGAGGCCCGCTCGGCATACACGATCAGACGGGAGTACGCGGCGCCGTGTCTGCCCTGACACTGAACAGACCTCCCCTCACGGCACCTGCAGCCACCACATCCGGCGAGCGGCCGGAATTGCTGATAGCCCACCTGTCACACTGTCCAGCCGGAGATCAGAGAGATTTGTATCAATGATTAGCACTTCTGGTCACGACTAATCCCGAAAAGGTGTGCACATTAGACTGTATGCACTGAATGGCAAATACCTACATAGAGGCTGTGCGAAACTCATTGCTTTAGGGAGAGCATTAACACGCGCACCGACGGGGGGGGGGGGCGGATATCCGCCCCCTGAAGTTTTTCGCAAATAGCGGGAAAACCGCGGCGTGTAGCGCCGCGAACTTTGGTACAACTATTCTCACATCAATTTTACACATGGTGTGCAAGTTTGAACCTCCTAACTTTTAAGGTCAGGTCACCAGGTCACTTTGCATGACCCAACCTCAAGTCACTTTTTTGCAACTTTGTCACCGTGCCAGAACTACAGTAGATGTCGGAGGCCTTCGAAAGTCGCAGGATGTTATCAGATCATTAGTAGCTACAATGTGCATATCTCGGAATTTTGATATCGGTGACCTAAGGTCAGGTCAATTTCTCGACCTCCCCATTATAAGTCAATGGGGAAAAATCAACTCCCTGTTTTTACCACTAAAACGGGTCGGAATGGCCCCATATACCATACATGACTTCATATACGATCAAACTTCACTACCTTGAGGTCAGTTTTGCTGTTGGGCAGCTGTAAGGTCATGTGACGTCATCAGAGGTCACCAAATGTTTTTTTGCCAATAACTCCGTACAGGAACAAGATACAGCCGCGCGGATGGTCTCATTGTGCTCAGCTCGTCAAGACGCATCGAATGATATACAGGGTGTCCCATAATTACCCGGACATTGTTAATTAGCGTATAAAATAAGGCAAACATGATTGCGCTTTTTTCTTTTTACCGTCCTATATAGTCAACTAGGGTGGCTGTGAAATAGCACATGCAATAGATACGCTTGTTACAAGATCAGCCGACAATGATGGAAAATGCCAGCCATTGCTGGTCTCAGTTGTTTTACGGGTCTCCCGAAACTGGGTGTAGGTCTGTTTTCTTTGCTCTCTTGCCGGAGGATAATACGATCATATAAGATAAACTTGACATCAAAGTGTTCCCAGGCCATAAGGTATTATCCCCCAAAACAAAAATTTCTGCCTCCGCCACTTTTGCTGCGTTTTTTTACATCTGGAGTGGAGAAGCTCCATGTCTGAACATTGCACAACCTTTGGCTTCCAACAGATTTGGTTTCCAAAACAAACCCGTTCATGGCCATTTGGTTCACGGCATCCAGTTTTCGCACTGGTAGAATATTACCGCAGTAGTACTCTGTGCTATCGGTTGTCTTTGGGCCATCATATCAAGCCCAATGAGTGCACGGTGGCTCAAAATGTCTCACAATTTGATTTTCGACGGGTGCCTGGCCGTCTCTGCTGTTGGGGCGTTGTAGCCATCGGACGTTCACACACGCCTTTTTCGGGCGGTTCAAATGACATAATACCTTCGTTAGACCACAAAGTGTGCCTCAATATACTGTTTTGTTGTATATGTTATGTTTTTGGGATGAATTGTAGTGATTTGCACTGCCTTTCCCGTAGTTTTCGCATATTTTTCTGGCGAAGGACCCCAAATTCCAAAATTTTGTCGAAGATAGTGGTGCAAAGTAGACTAATGTTTTGTAGATAATCCTGATCTATTGTTTAGCTAGTTTTTAGCTGGATCGGTGACGTTTGTTATCTATCACAAGCAACCACTTGCTTGACAACTGGTGCATGACCCTTTATGGCCGAGCCCAAGCTTGTCAATCAGGTTTATCTCTTGCTCTCTCTGGCTTCGTTAGCTGATATAATTGCGCTTTGCTCAATCCTAACTGCTTGCAGATGAGCTGCTGAAGCTCTCCAGCAAAAACCATGCCGAAAGTTCGTTTACAAAGTTGAGAACGGGAGTTGATTCATCATGGTTGCCTATTAGTGGCTTAAGCTGAAAACGGAAAAGGACTACTCTTACTTGGCTCTGGATAATAATTGATTCGAGTCGTTACCGGCCACCAAAAACACACAGTCCCCAATCTCGATAGCTAACGGATATCTTATAAAAGTATGATGCTTGTATATCATTAGAAACGAGCGCAGTCGTACTTTTAGCCAGAAAATAAATGTCCGGGTAATTCTGGGACACCCTGTACATGATGACCTCGAGGTCACGTGACCTGAGGTCAACCTTTGACCTCGACCTTTCGAGGTCAACATATACATCATTCGATGCGGATTGACGAGAGGATCACGATGATGCCCTTAGTTTGCTCCTATCTCGACGAATTCGAAAGTTATTCGAGAAAAACCCTCTCCATATCTAGCGCCGCCATTTTTACTTTTTTGACCCCTATGAAGTCATCTTTGACCTGACCTGAAAATGACCTCATTAAAAATTGTAGACCTTGTCCGTGCGTATCCGATGCCGTTTACCGCTTGTCGCTATCTTGCTTCGTTCTCGAGATCTCAAGGGGGGCGGTCATCCGCCCCCCCCCCCCCCGTCGGTACGAAGTTGGCGCAGACCCCCGTCGGTGCGCGGGTTAAAAACGTTTGTTCACTATGGTATCGACAGATCCTCGGATACTGAGTGAGTGCAAACAGCTGTTCCGCTCTGTTGCTCCGGTTCTCTAACTCTTCTCTTCATAATTGCGTTTTCCATCACCCACAGGGGCCGTGAATTAGGAACAGAAAAAACAACGGAGAATAAACGCCAAAACAGTAAAGGTGTTTTGTCAAAACGGCTTTCAAATAAAGTGCAAATGATGACGATATTTTCGATTTTCATTTCTTTTCCCAACAACATTTTGAACTATGACCTACGCATTTTACCGTGCTACCCGGCTTCATCATTAGCTTCTGTTCGGTCCCCCGGTACCAAACGAAAGATACAAAACAATAAGCGTCGTGAGACCTGCTATTTATAATCTCGCTAACTATTCTGTTTGTGTTTTTGCCTGCGGGCAGCCGTGCGATGCTGGGTATTTCTGGCCGTGGAAGAGGTGCCGCACCAGAGGCAGGCTGTTAGGCCCGATACTGTCAAACTTTCCGCACCAATGGACACCACTGTATTGATGAGACATGCCTCTGGCGGCGCCTGGGGCGGGTATACACATGTGCATACACACAAGCGATTGGCAGGCCCCTGTGTAGCGTCACTGACCGTCTGGCCGCCGTCCACCGATTAACTCACTCCCCAGGGGGTCTGTAGTGGTCTGCAGAAGCTGCACAGGACGTCTGTACAAGCAGGTGGTTTGGTACACACGGGTGCCCACTCCCTGAGGAAGTCCTCCCGCGTAGACCAGCCCTGCCAAGAGGCTGTCATTCACCACGGCCTTGGTCTGTCGCAGATCCATCGGCAGCGGCGCTGCTCTCGATATTTAAATCCGCCGACCGTGGCGAAATCTGCCGCGGTGAGCGATCGACACGCCGCGGTCTGGTATCAGTTGATGACGGCGCTGGCGGCAGCTGCAGAAGCTATTGATAGAGACGGCGAACCACTCTGAGTGGCGGCTCAGCTCACCGATACGACGGCCACACCTGGGGTGGGGCGCAGCGCGTCCAGGCGGCACCAAGGGGGCTACACCTGGGGTGAGTGCACCGAACAGTCGCCACAGCTGGGCTGGTAAAGCACTGCACCCCGATAGGTCCAAAGTAAATACACCTGGGCATT